AGGGAAATAGCAGGAAAAAGAGTTACTGGAGCATGTAATCTGCTCCAGCAGCTGGCTCACGTTTCCATCTCCAAAAGCTCTTTTTTCCCCATGCTCGTTCTCTTGCGGGCTCATCTGATGCAATGCACATCATCTTAATCCCAGATTCCTGTGCAGTATTTCTGACAGGGGATCTTGGCTTAATCCCTGAGCGTAGCTGAAAAGCAGTTGTGTGGTGTAGTCATGATAACAAAATCAGTGTCTGCTTCTGGGCATCGGGGATTTCCCCCAGAGAAGTCAAAGCTGATCTCAGTGGGCTGTTCAGGGAGATGTTACCAATGGCTGGCTCCGAGTCCTGGAGCTGCTGGAGCACACAGAGAGGGAAATGGTGTAAGAAACAGCCATAGCCAAGCTGGAGCATGAAGCTAAGGGAATGAAGCTTGGCTTGTGCTGCTGTTCCACAGGTGTTCAGAGGCAGTTTTGGGAAAGCTGGCCAGGTCCTATGTCACTGCACTGGGATGATGTGAGCAGGAATCAGCCTCGGACTTCCCAGTGTTGCCTGCCAGTGCTGCAGAGCCTTGGGAGCTGGTTGAGCTGTTGCTGTACAACCTTTCCAGGGAAGGCAGCAGGCAATGTCCTGAACTTCCCAGCAGTGCTGTATCCTTCTTTTGCTCTGGGCCTCCCATTGACTTGAAATGCACAAATTACTGTATTATGTATTTAAAATACAGAATTGATAGCTAAGTGCCAGTGTCCTCTGCCACTTGCAACCAGTTTATCTGGAGGGAGATTGTTGTGGAAAACCAGTGAAATTTTCTGTTGTTTTTATATCTAGAGACTCTGTATTGGGTTTTACTGGTTAGTGGCCTTGTGTATGCTCCTGCTGCAAGTATTGGACTTTTTGAGGTAGGAATGGAGAGCTGAACTGCTCTCAGGATTTTGTGTTATTGCTTCCTTCAGTAATTGCTTTGGAAACAAGTATCTCCAACTTTATCCAAATGTATTTTTGTCCTTGGCTTGAAGTTTCTTAAATTACCTTCTTTATGCAAGAGCTGACTCACTAGTCTGAGATCAATTCTGATAGTTTTAGCTACAGAGTTGCTGCATTGAAACCGATGGCTAAATTTTTAAGGAAAAGAACACTGTCTAGTGGCCAGCTCATGCTTTGGTTTGAAGGAAAAAGCATTCTGCCTGGGAGTGCTGCTGCTTCGCTTGTGTCTGGAAAAGCTGGACAACTTCCATCAAATCCCTGAGCTACCAGCCACTGCTGGGAAGGAAGAGGTCCTGTGCAGACAGGTGTCTCTGAACTCTGTGAGCTGCCCTTACATTTGCTTGTAAGAAAAGTGCAGTGGTGATGAGGTGGTGGCTCTGATGCCTCAATGAAAAAGTGATCCTCATCTTCCTGGCCTTGCTGCAGGGAGCTTTTGTGGTGAGGAAGCTGAGCTAGCCCAGGAGTTCATGCTTCCCAGAGGAATCGGTGCTCTGAACTAGAGCTGTTGCTCTAAAAAGCAGAGCTTACTGATTCTGTTTGGAAATCTCTACATGGGGAACTGAGAAATAGTAAGAAACAGGCGGTTTTTCCTCATTCCAACTTTTATTTCATATAAATAATCCCTCTACATCAGATTTGTTAACTTTTCAGTTTTTTCTCTCACCATAAAGAAGAAACAGCTAAGCCATAGTTGTCTGAAAAATCACAACCCAGGCACCAAACAAAGTGCATTGAGCAAAGTGTTAATGAGCAGGAAAAATACACTTAGAACGGGCACAAACTGTCCAGTCCCATTCCCAGAGCCTGGATCAGGCTCAGTTCTTCCTGGGCATCATCCCCTGCAAAGTCACTTGGAAGAAAGGAAAAAAAAATGAAGGAATGGAGGACCAGTGATGGTTTTCCTTTCAGAATGGAGTCTAGGGCAGTAAGGTTTTTTATCTCTTCAACACAGTGCTGGACCAGGGCAATGTAAAATTCCTGCCTGGCCATGTGTCCAACTGTTCCTGGGGTGCAACAGCTCTTGAGCTGAGACTGTGTGTTCCATGGACCATGAGGCAAGCTGGCTCCTGGGAAATGCTGGTAATGACTCAGTCTGACTGGACCAAGAGTCAGGTCAGAGACCTGATGTACAAAATAATAATGAATTTAAAAACTAAACAATTGCAAGCAGGTTTTTGAGCCAGTCAGATGAGGAAAATCAGCCTTTAACAGTGATGGAGAAGCTCCAGGACCTGGAGCAGTTTTACAATCTTCTATTTATCTGTTCTTTTATCTGTTGGGTAAGTCCAAATAAACTCTGGGCTTTGGTGGGGTGGAGATGTTTCTACTGATAAAACACAAAAGCTGCATGCTCTGTTTCTTGATAATACCTGGTGTGATGCCAGTAAAGTCTCCTAAATTTGGCACATGGAGGAAATTCCCAGGCTTGTGCTTCATGATAGGTGTCACGGGTCTAAGTCACGTGGGAAAACAAATGTTTGTCTGTGCAAATATTAGTTTATTAAAGCAGCATAGAGTATTTCAGTCCACACATGCCAACCTGATCTCCAGGGCAGTCTGCCAGCCTGGTCAGCCAACATCCTGCATGACATTCCAGGCAGTTTCCACATATACCTGTTCCAGGGACATTTACTCTGGCATCACATTTTAGAGCAGCCTTGAAGTGAGGGTGATGCCCAATCTGCCCTGTCATTCAAAAGTCAGAAATTATGTTGTGTTATTCCTTGTGCCTTCTCCTTAAATGCTAGCGGTATTCCAGCTGGGTCCTAGCTTGTTGTAACTGGAAAGACAAGCCTCTGGAATTCCTGCATGTTTGTGCTTGTAAAGCTCCTCCAGATCCTCCATTTGAAAGGTATCTTTAAGGCCAGGTCAGAAGGTCTGCAGGGCAGCTTAGAGAGGATTCCTGTTCTCTTAATGAAACACAAGGCTATGGAAGGCACAACCAGGAAGGTGAAAATGTTTAATACAAAGTCTTGGACCTTCAGCTCCAGTTTAGCCTGGGTCCTGCTGCCAACTGCTTTGGGCAGTGTGGTGGGGGAGAAAGATTATTGTGCTGTCCCCCTCCTTGCTGTGCTGCAGGGATGCCCAGTTACGTTTGGGAAGGGGCCATGGAGTTTGCCAAGTTTTGCACACACCTGGTCACCCAAGCAGCCACCTTCCTTGGCACAAAGCACTGTCCTGATATGCTCCTCAGCCTCTAAAAGGGGAGGACAGCTGGAAGCTCTTCAAGGAGGAGGTGCTGGGTTGATCTGTGCTTATCAGAAGCGCTCCATCCATCCATACATCCTGTTCATGCCCCGCAGCCCCTGCCACTACCATACACCTCTGCCAACACTTCGTCCACATGCAAATTTCTAGTACAAGAGCTCTGAACACAACTTCTTCACCCACCTACTGAACTACACCCTAGCACCTCACGTCTCCTTTGCCAATCACCTCTTCCTGCTGTTCCAGTTGCTGGCACAGCCCCTGGCACATACCTCCAGCCTTGGGGAAAAAACAGAATGTGTGCCCAGAAACCCAAGCCATAAGTTCAAAAAGAATTAGTCATTAAATAAAATAAAGTGCATCCAGTAGACATTTCCTTGGCTTGCCACGCAGCTGCAATATATGCCAAACAAATAGATAAGTGATGGTGTTTTCTCTATAGGGTGGGAGTGTGTGCACCTTTCCCTGTCCTTTGACACATTGATAGGGAAGAGGGATGCCAGAATTGTCGGGGGGGATGGTGATGGGGACCCCATGTGTTGTGAATGGTGCTGAAGGGCACTGCACAGGTGCTGAAAGCTGATTTCATTGAAGGTAAAAGAGTGAGGACAAGCTTGTGCTCCTCTTCTCCTCCACTGCCTCCAGCACGTTATCCTGTGAAACGAGAGCAGAGACAGCCGCGGGATTATCAGTCTCTCGGGAACTGCTGAGCTGTAAATTAAAATGTCTGCTGAGTTCCACCCTGCCCTTCCTGCACGGCTGGGGCTGCTTGGGAGGCACCACTGGGGCATAACCCAGATACCTGCTGCCAAATTAGACAGGAGCAGTGAAGGCTCTGCAGCCCAGGGGATGAGCTAATTCTACCAGTCTGGATTAAACACTCTCAGTCCTCCTCTGGGATACATCAACTTTTTCCTTATATCTCAGGAACAACAATCCTTATGTGTTGTGTGTGCTGGTTCAGCACCTGGAGCACCAAGAGAAGAGGCTGATTTCACGTAGGACTTTGTGATCCTTCCTGGTGAACCTGGCCTGGGTATGCACCACTTGTGAACCCCAAGGGCAGAGGCTGAATGAGCTTTTCCTAATGAAAAACTATCCTGTAGTGGAGCCTGCTGTCCTAGAGTTGCTTCCAGACCCAGACATGCTGATTTTAATTGGGAAAGGCAAACTTTCTATTCTTTTCTAGTTGCCAGATGCTTGGGTGCTGCTCAGACTTGCTGAGCTGGCATTTTCCTGCATCCATGTTTAAATCTGTAGATCTGCCTTTTGCTGATGCAGATTTCAGCACTCAAAGCTCCCAAGAAAGGTCAGGGAGAGGGATATAAAAAAGAAGAGATTAAATCCTGCGAAGGCGGGAGAGGCCACAGGGAAGCTTGGCTTGCATAAAAAAGAAACTTCTCAAGGAATCATCTGAAGACACAGCCATAGATATTTAGTAAGGAACTGCACTGAAATCAGACCCGAGGTGCTGACACAACTGATGCTGTGTACAGCTGAGATGAGATTGTTGCTGGAGACTTAATTCCTTCTCCTGTCTGTGTGCAGCAGTGAAGGCTGGCTGTGTCCGCTGCCAAGGGCTGCTCAGTGCTGTGGCAGCACACTGAGATTTAATGGGACTGGGAAGGGCCAGAAGCAGACTGTCAGTCACACTTGGCGGTCCAGATATTGTAAAGTAATGTGGTTTATGAGTCTGAGCTGACTCCAGCACGAGTTCTCCCTATTGTGGATCTATTTGATCACTGATGCTTTCAGAAGGCTCTGACTGTGTTTCAGTGCTGGGAGACAATTCCCTTTCCTGCTTTGCAGTATTATCCTTTCAATACAGATACCTTCTTCCCATGCATGAGTGAGTCTTCACAGCCAAGACACTGGTGGGCTTTAAAGTCATTGCTTCTCTTGGTAATTAGCCAGAGTGATTAGCCTTTCTCACATTTACCACTGTATCCTCTTTCCCATACAGAACTCCAGGGCTAGTGGGAGATGGAGCAGCTGCGGGCTGGCTGTGAGCTGAGGTTCAGGGCAGGAATGCTCCCATGTGCTGCCTGGGCTCTGCCAGCAGAATGGGAATTCTGTGGTGGCAGAATTCCTTCTGTGTGTCAGTGTCACCAGGAGAGGACTGACACAGATCACTGCTGTCTGTCTCACACCTCCCAGCCTGGCTGGCTGGGGGATGTCACTGGGATGGCCTTCACAGCCAATCCAACAGCAGGTCCTTGTGGGACCTACTGGTCAGGTTCCATGTGATGGAGGGATGTGCAGAACTCCCTGAAGCTGCAGCTGAACATAGCTGATGAAGGTCTGGGATAGCAGGAACAACTGTGGGATATGAGAGCAGCTCCATTCCCGGTGTTTGGAATGGCAGCAGCTCACCCATCAGAGCCCTGAGTTGTGTTTAGACATATTAAGCTCCAATAAGTGGCCCTCGGGATTCAGCCATGGCAAGCTTCCAAGTGCTCTGACAGGTACCCACCGTTTCCTAATTTTCCCATATTTATTCCTGGGCTTCTCCAATACATTGGACCCTGCCCCAGCATTGTGTTCTGGCTTGGATATTTCTTCACCTTTGCTGGTGTTCACTACCCACATATTTACAGAGATCACAATTCCATGCTTTCTGCCTTCATTTTTCTAGACTAAACAACATTCTCTCAACAGCCCTGGAGCCTTCCCTGTGTGTCCTTAGTCTCTTGCACCATTCTCACAGAATCCCTGTACTTTCCAGCGTTAACACTGTCCTCCCATGTTGTGCCATCACTCCAGAGATATGGAGACAACTATGTCAAGTCCCACTCCCTGACTCTGCGTAAAGACTAAGCTCTCCACTTAGGGGGTACTTAGGGTGGTACTCAGAGGTGCTCTGGGAATTTAAAATGCCCATGGCATGAGGATGGGCTCCAGAGGGTGGTGTGGGCTGCAGGAAGGACCAGGAAAGCCAGTACTATTCAAGCCAAGCCCTTGACCCTGCCAATCCTAGGCCAACTCCCCAGACATACCAGCAGATGGTATCTTCCTGTCTCCTGAACCTCAAGGAAGCTCGTTGTTCTTCTGCAGCTCTGCAACTGTTTTGGGAAGTGCTGGTTTTTGCTTGTGCTGTTTCCTGCACCAACCTTGGGCACTGGTTTGCATCAGAGCCGACCTCTGCTGACCTGCTCCGTCCTGCAGCACTCAAGCCCTGCCTGCCCCACTCCTGTTTACGTCAGCCAGTGCTGCAAGGTCAGATCCCTGGAGCTGCTCTGGAAATCTACCCCCAGCTGCATTTTCTCTAAAGATGTTAAGATTAATTTTCTCAAGAGAATTCAGGGAAAAGCTTCTGTGGTTTTTGTGTATCGTTTGCTTCTCTGGGACTTGTTGGACATTCTCCAGGGATTCCAGTCCTGCATTTCGAGTAAATATTTATTCCTTGTTATTTGAAGCGAAGGATGAAAGCCCCACCACACTCTCTGCACAGCATCTCCCACTGATTTGAAGGTGCTGGAGATTTTTAGTACCATAAATAGATGTTGGGAGGGGGAGCTGTGAAACCCACGTGCACAGGGCTGCAGTTGTGCAGGAAGGGATGTGAGATCTGCATTTAATGTGAGTGGGACATGGGTCCCACTAGCATGGCAGGGGGTCAGTGCATCATTATCACTGAGTACAGATGTTTCCAGCTGTTACATATACCTGCTGAGCTCTGACGTGGACTCAGGGCCCTATTACCAAACCATGGGAATCTCCATCACTGAGATAAAAATGGACTACTCTAATTTATTCTTTGCTCTTAGTTGATGTCTAATTAAAGTTACCCTGAGTAAGCAAAGTATTCATTAATTCCTTCATCCTCTAATTTGGTGGGAATTTTGGTAGATTGGAGAGGCGTGGCTGGACAGTAATCTCCCACTATGTCCATCCAGGTATTTCATAACAGTATTCTAAATGCTGTTGGAATTAATTTCCCTCACTTGAAGGAATTTTAGTTCAAACATAGAACCAGCTCCTGCTGGTTCCTGATGTTTTGTCTTTTTGAAATCACTATGACGCTTGCACTTCTCCCTGCCTTTTATATGGATTGGATTATAGGGAAAGTCTTTGTTAGCAGCTTAGCCATTTCATCCCTAAGCTCATTTGTACCTCTGGGAGGAATACTGAGCAACACCGGGGGATACATTGCTGAGTAGGTTCTGCAGAAAAGCTTCTGGAATCTGGGAAAGGCACTTGGTGGGGGGATCTGCCTACCTGGCTCTGAGCAGCTCATTGCCTCCAGTGCCTACGTATGGAAAAGAGCTGCTGCCTCTGTGAAGGAGAGAGGCAGGAGTATCCTGAGAGCCACTCCCATGCTAGGCAAACTGGATTATATTCTGGAAATGCTCATCTCTATTTAGTGTGACGTTCTGCTCTGTGGGACATTGCTGGAAAAAACACACCTTGCAAAGAACCCCTACCCTCTCCCGTTCCTCCTAATTTCTACGTTCACTTTATGCTTATCATCCTTTGTTCCTTCTCCTGGCTTTGCATTTGCCTTGATGGAAGAAAAATTGTTTGTGTAAAATCTGGAGCATTGCTCCGTAACTGGCTCTGTTCTCCCTCCCTTCTGTTTGGTTTGTGGGCCTTTGCACCAGGAATCATCTCACCCTGTATATTTATACACTGCCCTGCACATCAGTGTTACCATCTGTAATTCAAAGTGTAGCACTCATAGACCTACTGGGAAGAGAATCCCACATACAATCAACCTTCTCCCAAGCTGCCCACGAAGGGGGGCCCTGTGGCTTTGCAAGTGTTTTGGGGAAGGACCACACTGACCTCGAGCTGTGATCACCCCAGAGACAGAAATAAACTCATCCCACTGAGGTTATTCCTCCCATTCTTTCTAAGGCCATAGTTTCCCAGGAATAGATCAGTATGTGCCCTAACTAATGTGTGTCATCAACCAACTTCAGCAGCCCAGTTTTCTGTCTAAATTTTTCTGTCTGAGTTTGCATTCCTTCCCCACCCACTCCAGGACAGGCCCTTGGGATCCACAGATTTAATTACCTTAGAGATCCATAGCACTGCCAATGAACATTTCTGAACAGTTATCTGGTATGATGCCACTGTACCACAGAAAATGGAGTTGTGCCCCTGTACTATGGCTGAGAGCATTAATGAGATGACTCACCTTATGTCTCAGGCAAGCTGGTGCAATCTGCTAGTTATGAGTGTCCCCACTGTCCTTGTCCTTGCAGTCTTCAGGTTGGTCCCCTTCCCCAGACTGGGATTTTGCCGTGTCCTGCTCAGGCACAACAGCCTTGTCAGAGCTGGCTTTCCCTGGGGGTGAAGGCTTATGGTGTTCAGTGCCTTCAGCATCTTCACTTTCTTGTAGTGCAAGTGCCTGTCCCTCAAGAGCAGTGTTTTGGGTCACTTCTTCCCCTCCTTTGCTCACCAGCTGTCCTTGGTCTGCATCCAGTCTGTCTCCTGCTCCTGTGTCGAGCTTTCCTCCATGGCTGCTGGAAGAGTTCTCAGAGGGCTCCTGTTCTGAAGCTGGCTGTTTCTCCAACCCAGCTCCATCTACATTCACTCCCACGGGCAGTGACAAGGTCTCCTCGCTGCCAGGCCTAGTGCCTTGCACAGTGCTCTGAAGGCTGCTCTCTGAAGCAGTGCTGTCAGTGCTCTCCTTCTCCAGGGACATGTCAGCAGTGCCAGGCTTCCCACTGGCATCTTCCCCAAGACTTTCCTTGCTTGGCTTGGGCCCTGGCTCGGAGTTCCCGGCGCTGGCCACAGATACCTCTGTGCTGCAGCCCCTCACTCCCCTCCACTCCTCCTTCTGGCCATTCTGGGCAGGCTGGACCTTCCCACTTTGCAGCTGCTGTGAGGAGGAGGCCCCGTGATTCTGGAGGCTTGGCTGTTTCCCCTTTTCCTCCAGCTCAGCTGTGCAGTTCTCTTCCACCCCCTCGTCACCTCTGCTCTTCCGCCTGTCCGTACCAAGGCTCCTCTGAGAAACCAAGGACATATTAAGTTCAACTTATTAAAATACCAGTATACTGTATTTCTTGTCTGTGATGGTTCTGAAAACCTGAGTAAAAAGGATGCAAAAGGATGTAGGTGGAGAAATGTTCAGGGACCAGAACAGGTGAGGTGGTTGTGCTGACAGTGAGCAGTGAAGCTGCTGTCACACCAGGCCATGTAAGGAGTGTTAGTGGCGAGTACAGTTACCCAAAACCAGAGGTCTCCCAGCTCTGGAATGGATTAGAGATTCCAATTTTCCAGGAACTCACCTGGCCATCAAGGTCATCCTTCACAAGAGACATGTCCTCGCCTTCTTTTGCATCCCATCTGTCAAGAAAAAGTAATCAGAATTTAGGCCTTGAACTTACAAAACCAATGTCTCTTGCCTGACACCCAGATAGGGATTCCTTCCATGGCCATGTATTCCTTGTCTCAGCCCCTTGTCCAGGCCTATCCAGAGACAATCATTTGAGACCACTGAATCTTAATTACCTGGTTGTTGTAATTCTAATTGTAATGAACATATGAACTCTATTTGCCAGAAAAGACAGTTTAGTCAGACTAAGAAGATAGAATTTGCTTATGTTGATGCCTGCCACAGTCTGGTCCTGCTTGCCTGACAGTGCCCAAGTATCCCAGGTCTTCACAACAGCAGACACAGAGGCAGATACTGAAAGCTAAAATTATTTTGAAGTAGCTTGGAAGTCAGAGAGACTTCCTCTCTTCTCCAAGGGCCTGCAGTGACAGGACAAGAGCCAATGGCTTCCCACTGACAGAGGGAAGTGTTAGGTGGATATGCTTCCATGTGAGTGTGGTGAGGCCCTGGCACAGGTTGCCTCTTCATAACGGCAGGGAGTGAGACACGGATGTGCACACCATGGTAGTGCTGCCAGCTCCTCACCTTCTGGCTCTGCCTGTCAGTCTGTCCTTCCCCTTGGCTCGGCTGCTCACAGCAGGCACTGCTTTCGGACCAAGGTCGCTCACGTTCACTCCATGATGTCCTCCACCTAGAAAACAGGTTGGAAATGCCATGCAAAAGCAGGCAGAAGCAGCTGAGGGACCAGTGAACAGGCAACATCCTTGTATCCTTGGAAAGGACCTCTGAGGTGGGAAGCCTTTGAAGCTGTATGCATACTGTATGTATATTTTCTAAAGTAATAAATCAAGAATTTAGGGTTTGGGGATTTAGGAATTTCTTGTGTGGTTTTTTATCCCAAATTCCAATTCTAACTTTAAATCTTATTCCTTGGATGCAGTCTTATTTGTGCTGTTCTTGGAAGACTTCTCCCCTGCACACAGCTATGAGAGCAGCCATTTGGTATGTTCCAAAAGGCTCTCCAAATCTGCAAGTGTCTGGAGAGAACACTCTCCCTGAGGGATATCAGAGGTGCTGGCATTTAATGGGGTGACATAACACAATCCTGTGGTTTACTCACCTCTCCCGTCTGCAGGAAAAGACCTGTGCTGGAATTTCCTTGCATTCCTTCCCCCTGCAAGGACACAACAAAGGATGCGCCAAAGTGAGTGAAGGTCTGTAATGGACAGGCAGCAAAAAGCCTCATGTTCAAATAGGGTGTCATGAGGGAAAGCTTTGTTTTGCCAGTCCATCTCCTGAGAATCAGGAGTCAGGATGGACTTACACTCGTAAAGAAGCCAGCATGTGCCATAGGGATCAGAGATGATGTGCTCTGGAATAGGACTGCCTCTTAAACGAGTGTGTGGGAAAGGAGGCAGGGCTGCGCCTCCACACTGTGTTGTACCAGCTTACAGAAGCCACTGCTCTCCCTGGGAAAGTCCAAAGCTCTAGCACCCAGCTGCTCAAATCCCATCCCCCGAGCCCTCTGCCCAGCAGGAAGGGCTGAGCCCCCAGCTCAGAGGCGTTTGCCCAGGAAAGCAGAGCTTCACAGCTGACAGCCACGACAGCTGCTGTGGCACTGGGATGCGCACGACCAGCATTCACTAGCGTCAGGACAGAGTCTAGGTGTCCCTTGCCAACCTTTCTTACTGCTGGGATTATCCAAGGCTGGCTCCCCATCCTTAACAAAGTCCTCTTCAAACCTGCAGGTTAAAAACAGGCATTGTCAGACCTGACCATCCTCCTCCAGTGTGCAAAGCATGGGCAGGAGCCCTTGGCACGATGCAAGCTCCAGCCTTTGGCCCTTCTGCACCTGCCCACAGGCAAACCTGTGCAGGTTTCTCAGCAGCAGCTGAAGCTGCATGTGCTAACTGAGGCTGTGAGGTAGTTCTACCCCAAAGAACAACCTCTAAAACCTTTACATCATTACCCATATGTATATATTGAATTTTATGAACCTCCTATAGATGTAGGGTAGCTGTATGACAGTCAAATGCAGCTTCCCAAGTTTTCAAACACAATTTGAAGTAGCTTCAGGACTTGTCATCTCAAATCAGACTATTTGGTTAGCTTCTAGTCCTGCTTGTTTTATATTATGGCTTTTCTCTTAAAAATTGATTTTTGGAAAAACAGTAGGGCTCAGGGCTCAGAGTGCTGTCTTGATATCAACACTCAGCACCCACTTAAGTCAATTCACCCCTAATTTTTGGGGTATCAGCGACTGAAAATTGATGTGTTTGGTTCCATTCCTCAGCCAAAGGATTGTCCCACATATCTGTCCTGTGCAAACTGTTCTATCACCAAACCTTTGTAACACAGTGCTGTGCTCTAACACAGCACCCTGCCAGAAGCTTATCCTACTACAGGTGCCAAGTCATCCTCCAAAGTTCTCAAGCTGGTGTGACCCAGCTGAACCAGCACAGCCAGAGGGGCAGTGATTGAGGCAGGGATGTGTCCAGCCCCATTCCCAGCTGTCCCACACTGCTGTTCTCAGCTTTGTCCCTGTACGGCACGGGTGGCCTTTTGAAGTGACTTCCCTGCCCCGCAGTTCCCGAACAGGCTCTTTTTATGGAGTGGGGAGGATTTAGGCATGTTGGGCTCTCCTGTGCTTGAAAAGGACAAAGAAGAGGGGGCAGTTAGAAAACCTGTGGACTAGCAATGCAAGTTCGTCCATCCACTTTTCTGGAAGAGTACCCTCCTGCCACTGGATATGTTTGTGTAGAAATGGAGAGGATCCTCCAGATGCAAACTGAGCCTTGGTTCATGTTCCCCTCCCTCCTATAGTCCACATCCTGATTGGACCAAAGGCAGGCAATCTTTGTCAGCACATGGTATCCTCCCTCAGGAAGACTCGTATCAGGAAAAAAACATGAGAATCACTCTGATACCAGATCCCACTTATGGGCATGGTCTGGGGAGGAAGAGGCAGCAGTATGGATTTGGTCAGGCACATGACAGCATGGGATTGATATGTATCTGCACAAGATTCCACCTGCAGGCAAAGCACCCTGGGACAGGGAAGGACCTACATGTGCTCTGATTTCTCCACATCCCAAGCCCGTCGCCACTCGCCCTTGGCATTCTTGTGACGTGCCAGGCGCTCCAGGTCAATCTGGTCTCGCTCCCTCTTCCAGCGGATGTACTCTGAGCGCTCCCGGCCAGTCATGGGGAAACTCAGGTCTCCAGGGCTCTTCTGGACTGGCTTCCCACCATCCTAGTGGAGGGAAAAAAGCTTCTCATTAATAAAACTCTCTGAAACAGGGTATTTTGTATTGTCACCACAACAAATGCTCAGGAATATTTGAAAACAACTTGGGACAAGGTCAGCTCCTTTCTCTGAAGTGATGTGTGCACACCAGGACTCTGCTTTACCCAATGCCTAAATACAGTGGGGCTTTTTGGCTCTACAGAAGGGAAAACTGAGGCAGGAACCTTTGCTAAGGTTTAACTTATAGCACAGAGTCAGTTCCTGGAGTGCTTGCCACATCTCTCAACAGGGTTTGAATGATAATTCCCCCAGCCTGATCCACTTTGGGATACATAAATCAAAGTTATGCCTGTGAAATCTTTCACAGTGGGAAGGCAGAGAAGGAAGCCAGCCTTATGTGACCACCAGGCATCCACGGGAGCCCACAGTCACAGAGCTGTGGCCAACCCTGTGCTCAAGAGCAACATTTCCAGAGCAAAGGGGCTCTTTACCTTCACTGCTGTCAGGCTCTTGGTTTATCACTCCTCATGACAGACTGGTTAAGGACTGACACTGCTCAAAAATTTAAAGCTTAATGGAAAGACAATTCAGAGTTGATGGAGCATGTGGGGGGGAAGTAGCCCAGCTGTCAGGTTAATGGATGAGGTGGAAGCAGGAGCCAACAGGCTGTGGTGTGTTGTCAAGCAACAGTGTGTAGGGAATAGCCTAGTGCAGAGCTGAGTCCTGGGGTGCTAATTACCAGCAGATAATTCATCACCTCATACACGTGTCCTTCCATGCCAGCCACCCTCACACCTTCCCTAAAGAGGAATTAACTCCTCAGCCTTGTACTGCGGGTAAGAGAAGCAGCAGGAAGAAGGGACTGAAAGCCCTGTTACCAAGGTGACTCACCTGCGTGGGCCGGAGCTGGGGTGGCACCAATTGCTCCTCCATTTCTCAGCTGGCAGGAGCTGGGGACCTGACACTGTGTCCCCACGGAGGAAGATGAGGGGGTCCTGCCAGGATGTGGGTCCTGCCAGGATGGATCCTGATGCATCCATAAAGCCAAAAGCAAGGGAAGGACTGAGGCTGATGCCCGTGCTCTCTTGTGGGGAGAGGCAGAAATGGCTGGGGGCCTATGGAGCAGGAGGAGTGGGTCCCTCACCTCAATTACAATGTAGCTGTGGTTAGCTGGACCACAGGCTATCGTGCTCCCCCTTCCTGCTCTGGGAGGCTCAGCTGGAATTAGTGTCTAAGAGCCCATCTGTGTCCTCCTAATGAATCACACTGAGGTGGGGTTATTCTATTTGTGCTCCATTAATTAAAGCATCTGCAGGCTCGAGGGAGCCAGCATGTCTCCAGGCTTTGCATTAAACAGTCAGTGGGAAGGCCTGTGCTTTAATTTACCTCCATCCTACTCAGCTCCTGCTGAAGTGAGGAGCTGTAGCTAATACAGCCTGAGCTTTTCAATCCACAAGGAAATGGTTTTGAGACAGGAACCAGCCAAAGCTGTGCTGCCACAGGGGTGAGCATGTTACCCTTCCTAACATCCCTATGGCTGTGTGAAGGGCTTGAAGCAGCCATGACAAGGTGTGGAGGCAGGTCCTTGTCACCTTTCCAGTGCTGCTTGCTCCAGGTGTGTCATCTGCTCAGCAAAGCTTTGGATGATGAGAGTGATGAACGGTGGGAGCCGTGTCAGAGCACAGTGCTGCTTCACAGAATTACAGGATGGTTTGGGTCTCAAGAGACCTCAAAGGTCATCTTCCTTTAGGACTATGGTGGGAAGGCACATTCTACTGGTTTCCTCTTCCAAGACAAGGGTCCCCAGAACGGGACATGGGCTCCACTCACCTTCCGGCTGTGCTCACTTTCTGGGCCTCTCTCACTGTCTGATCTCCTCTTCTCTGCTGTTCTCCGCTCTTCTCCCTGCAAGAGAACACACAGAGGAATTATTTCAAGGATTAAGCACGGATTCGTCACAGGAGAATCAGGACCTGTACCTATGCCAACCAGGACATATAAAAACTTCTCAGAAAAGATCAGCAAAAGAGGAAGGATTGTTTCTGGGGCCCCAAATCAAACTGAGGCAGAAAAAAAAGAAGTTAGAAAGCAAGGGATGCATGAGAAAAGAATTCCCAAAGGTCCCTCCTTCTCCCAGGCTGGAAGCAGAGTGGTGTCCTGCATGGTCCTGTTTTTTTCCAAGGCAGACCAAGTTTCAAGTACCTTTACAGATTTCAGCCATTTTAGAATTCCACTGTACAAGATCTGGGAGCCTATCTGAGGTGCAGCTACAACCCAGCATGGTCAAACTAGGAGTGATTTTAGTCCCTGGCAAACATGGCGTCCTTCTACCACAATCCATCTCTGCTTCCATGGGGTTTACCCATGCTGCCACCAGATTGGCAAGCTCTGCTCTGGAGTTGAATATCTGGTGTTGATATTCCCCAGCCTGGCAGGAGGTGACAATCAGCTTCTATTTCTTAGTGAGTTACAGACACCAAACATGGGCCAAGCCAGGGGTTCTCTGTCCCCACATGGGATGAATAATCAAGACAGAGCCATGCCAGAGGCCAGGGTGGGACTGCAGTGGGTCTTAACAAAACAGTCTACAGAGCATAAAGATCTTTTAGGAAAGGCTTCCTTCCTGGTTGGACAGCAACAGGGCTGTGGCTGTGGGGGGCTGAGCTTGTCCTGCTGCCATTTTGCAGTGCCAAGCAGAACTGAAACACAAAGAGGAACGTGGCAGCACAAACTGCCAGCTCAGCCCTTCCAGAAAGCGGCAGCATGGTGAGGTCCAGCCCAGGCTGGAAACAGGACTTTTATTCCCTGCATTCACCAGACACAGCTTTAGTTCTACAGGGAAACTTGGGATATCAGTCTTGATACCTGCAGCTCTGCCCAATCTCCTAAGGCAACTCATGCTGCTGAAGCTTGTTCACATGTATCCCATGGAATCATGCAGGGAATGAGCTGGGGACATATTTTTGGGGGATTTCCCACACATGCTAAGTCTGAGGCAGGTGGGAAGTGTGGCCATACAGTTCATGGACTGTCATTGCACTTGGTGCATGACAGTTTCACTGGACTGACTTGTAGCTCCAGCACAGATGCAGGTTTGTTCAAACAGATCCTTGGAAATAACAAGGAATATTTTAGCTACATTGTGCCGGGATTTCTCAGGGTATATGGTGAAAGATAACACTAGGGATTTATTTCAAAATGTTGCTGTGAAAACTTAAAATGCTCCCTCTGGATTCAAAGTCACCTTCTCTGGCAGCCCTGTTTGAAGAACCTTGTAGTGAGAGATTGAATGAGTCTCTGCAGTCCCAAACAGAGCATTTACTGAGAGATTAACCAGCAGAAATCTGGAAACTTTGCTCTCCCAGAGCCCTGCATCCCAGTGGCTGTCCCATTTGCAATGCTATCTCATCAGTGCCCACCACAAACCTGGGTCACAGAGACACTGCACAACCCTTCATCCTTTCACACCCTCACTGCAAGCCAGCTGCCTTTTGCCTTAATCTGCTTCTATTTTTGCTTCTCAGAGGGCACTGTGGAAAATGAAGAAGACCACAAAAATGTAGTTCTTTTGTACCAGGACAGCAGGTCTGAGCTGTGCAGAGAACAGTCAGCTTGGCTCTTGCACTGCCTCAGGAGCAGAATTCCTGTTTCCCTGCTGCCCCAGAGCTGCTGCCCCTGTTACCACACACCCAGGCCAAGAGGGAGCAAAACATGTTTTTCTTTTCCTTCCTCCTCTCTGCCCCCAAAATTAAGAAACATGACATGTTATCATTCCTAGTGTAACTGTTCCTGCGGAGCAGGAGAAGGACACAAAAGCCTGAAGCAGTCAAGGAAGATTATGCTTGTTTATCCTGAGCTTTCTGCCAAAATTTCTCAGTTTCTCAGTCCAGAATAGCCCAAGGTGGGGCCCAAGGTGGGGCAGAGCCTGCTCCAAGCCAGCCCTGGGATCCAAAATGCCTTCTGCCACTGGGTCATTCTGACTCCCTGGCACACATATTCCCAGCTAATGTCATTGTGCAGTGGTGACAGTACTGATGCCATTATCCAGCCAAGCACTGGTTTGTACTAACAGTTCTCCAGAAGCTTTGACAAGCTTCCATATATCTGGGCTAGTTCAACACATTCTTTTTTTTAAAAATAAGGACTATCAGATGAATTAAACAAACCTTTTGGTACCCACTTCTCCAGGCACATGTCAGCACCACAACTGGTATTTCTTCTTGAAGAAATGATATTTTTGTAGGAGCTTAAAGCCGTTTTTCTAATGCTCAGATTCCCCACTGGGCAGGATTTTTGAAACTAGTACATGAGAGGATTTTTTTTTTATAACTCTTTTGAAAAATCTGCCTCCTTAATTGTGCTGCCTGAAGGGAGCTAAAGATTTTTCAGCCACCCTCTCTGCCTATTTTCCCCTCCCATCTGCAATGTAAAAGCAAGTGTTTCTCCTGCCACAGGTTTGGTTCCTCTCCTCTGTAAGCACCAAGTCCGACTCCTCTGTGTTAGTCCCTGAAAGCAGCTTTTGTGTCTCTTGATTACAGTCATTTCTGATACACCATCCTGGGAAACTCTGTTAATAAAAGGACAATTTAAAAGCCCTGAAGCTCTATCAACTGCCCATTTAAAAGATGATTTGTAACCTGTTAATTAACCATTGTGCTCCACTGGTCCTGGGCTGCTGGCTGGTAGCTCTAATGTACTAATGAGCCTGAAACACTGCCAAAGCATTGAGTGGCTTTTTAGGGCTAAAAATGAAGGATTGTCTCCAGCCCTACATGCAGGAGAGCCCTGAGGCAGGTTTAGGGGCAGCCAGGTAGAGATGGGTCCCACATGTGGCACTTCCAAGCCAGCAGCAGCACTGGAGGTTGTGAAGCTGCAGCAATAGAGCAATGGCTCTGCAAAGAGACAGGATAATTTGGTGCCTTCAGCCCTGTGGGCTAACAGAGACAAGGCTAACAGAGAGTGAAAGAGTCTTTCTACTTATGGCACTGGGGCTGTCTCAGAAAAGGAGATCATGAAAGCATCTTTTTTCCCTTGAATTTCCTCTTTGGCAGCTCCTGTCTCAGCTGTGCTGCAGTCCGAGACTGACAGCATGGGGTTAGCACCACGGGCAGCAAGAATGGGAGCAGTTTTCCTCTTTGGGGTTTGGTTTTGTGGGTTTGTTTTGTTTTGTTACTTTGGCTTTTTTTCTTTATTGAATTTCATCACAAATAAAAATAGAGAAAATTTATGGTAACAAGGACACCCATCAAATACTTTAATTGGATAAATTTGACATGTGCACAGGGGAAGAAGCAAATTTGACAGTGGCCAGGCTACTGGAGGGGGAGTGATGGATGTGATTCTTTCTCCTAAGCCTTTGTGGAAGCCCCAAAAGAGCAGAGAGCCAGCTGGGACACAAGGTAAAAAGGCTGAACCATGCTGGGGTTAATGAGAGACTGAAAGTTAATCCTTGAATTGGGGGTCCCAGCCCAGGTCTCTACCCAGCCAACATCACTGACACCCCACCAGGCTCTCCAGCAGCTGATTGATTTGGAGATGAAAATGAAGTTTCTCTTTTAACAACTGATTAAAGGATAGAAAAGAAAAAGTGGCAAGAAAATGGTGGTTTCTATGGCAGGATTAGCAGGAGTATGCCACTGGAACATGTGCTGTTCAACATGCTCATAAATGGTCTGGAAAAGGAGCTGAAGAGGGGGATGACAGTTTGCTGATGATGCTAAATCATCCAGGGCAAAGAATGTAATTTGACCGGAAAGAGCTGCAAAAGATCTCTTGACATTGAATGCCTGCATCATAAAATTACAGCTGAAATTCAATATCAGTAATACAAAATAACTCATACAGAGAAAAATGTCCCTTCTTGTATACACACAGAGAGTAATGAATCCTGAGCTATGATTAACAGTCAGGAATGAAATGTTGGTGTTACTGTGACTAGTTCTCTGAAAATGTTAGCTCAATTATTTAGGGAAAAAAAAAAAAGGCAAAGAAAATGCAAACTTGTTGGGAGAAGAATAGAGAACAAGCCAGAACATTGTTATGTCACTGCGTACATCCTGGAGAGCCCGCAGCTGGAATACCATGTGCAGTTCTGGTCTACTTGTACTGAAAGAATATGGTAAAAATAACAAAAGCACAAGTGAGGACAATGAGAATGATCGGAAATAAAGAACAGTCCTCAGCAGACAAGTCTAAATAGGGGCAATCTCTTAACTTATGTGAGATTGCTGAAGGGAGACGTGAACCAGGTCGATAAAATCATTTGTGCTTTGGGAAGTGACCTGGGAATGATCTATTCACTGCTTCCTCTGATGCAGGAACAGCAAATGGAGCTGTCAGGGAACAAGGCTGAACAAGTCTGGGATTCTAAGCTTCGATGATTCTATGGCTTTAGCCAGTGCAGCCTTAGGCCCACCCTCATATCCTCGGAATCCAGATGCTTTGAGGCCAGTATGAGCAAGGTATTGCCAAAAGCACATACATGGATGCTCAGCCTCCAATTCCATATTCCATAATGAAAGATAAGAGATGACCTTCCAGGGCAGTGCATACATTTAAGAGAGCACAGGATCTAAAGCCAACATCCAGGCACTCTTCCTGCTGCTCTCTCCTTGTACAGCCCCAACCTTGATGACCTCAGAGACAACGTGCCCAGCAGAGAGCAGAAGACACTTACCTGGCACATTACAGAAGTACATTTGACAAGCCTAAGAGCAGAAACAACAGAGTCAGGTCAATCCCATTACATCCAGGAATGTTGGTGATGCCTAGACTGGAGCAGCAATGTCTGTCATGGGGACTTCTAAGGTTACCAGTGGCTCAATCAGGCAACTCATTTGAGGTTTATGGCATTCAAAATGCTGCTTGGCAGCCATGAGAAAGGAGCACCTGAGCTCCTGGAGCCTAGGTAAGCCCTGGGAGAGGAGAAGCTGAAGATGAGTGTGGGTAGTAGCAGCAAATGGTTGGCATTATTCCAGAGAGGGGCTGCAGATGTCTCCCATCATTCATGGGTGTGTTTGGTAGCTACACCAAGTGTTGTTTTCCTACACGGTCTTTTGCTGACCCTGTTTGCTGCAGGCATTTTTTCTTATCTGTGAAAGCTTCCAAAGAGGAAAATAGCACATGCCTCTGTGTGTGTAAAGAGAAAGGTATTTGTAAAGAAGTATTTGAAATATGTTTCAAAGATTAACAAAGTTCAGCCAGCTCACTCAGCAGGTGATGGCCGGGCACAGCAGGATGTGTTTCAGAGGCAGATATTGCCCAGCTCTGTTAATGTTTAAGTCGTGCAGTGAGTCAGGAGGACACTGCTCCTGTCCCAGTCTGCTGTGTAGCTTCAAAGAAAAGCTGGTAAAAGACAAGGTGAGATTCATGCCCCATTTCTGGCAGTGCTTTCATCAATCCTTCCAAAGCAGCATCTGTTTATGAACTCAGTGTGTTTAGGAGGCTTCTAGCTTTAGCTAGGATCACAGGGGAGGGAAAAGCTCGTGGCTTTCTTCTTTCACAGGGATGGAAAGCAGAGATATGGAGATAAGCTGCACTATTAATATACAGTGTCTCCCAACATCCTGTGCCTAGGCCCTCCTCATGCCAGCAGAAGTGGATACCATGGGAAGGTTACAGGCCAGTCACTAGCACTGTACTTACCTTTTCCTTGTTATCCATGGTGATGGCAATCTGCATCCTCCTTCCCCGTCGGAAAGCCACCAAATGGTCCATCTCCTCCTCGCTCAGGTCCGGCACTCGGCCCGGGCCAGGGAAGCTCTCGGCGCGTTTCTCACTGACAATCCTCTTGCCCTGGAAGGCACAGGCTGAGTTAAGGACACCTCCATTAGCCCTCCTAGGAGAGTGGCCATCCCAAACTGCAAAGGATTTTGGGCTGGCAGAACAGAAAATGAGCCAAACAGTCAGACCCCTTAGCTTGTAACGCTACCACCCCACTCTAAGGGATATTACAGAGGTGTGTTTAGCTGAGCACATCAGCATGGTGGGATTTACCCTGATCGGATAATGTGCAGCAGGAACACTGAAGGATGGTTTTATTTTAAGCTTGTGTCTGTGTCATAGAAACAAATGTGAGGTTGTCCCCTCCTCATACAACATTTCCCAATAAAATATGAGGCTACCTTACAGCATAAGCCTAGAAGGTGGAGGAGAAGGAGAACAGTGGGGTTTCTTCTCTTCAGACTTGTCCACATAGCAGTTACTCCCCTGAAGTTTATTAGCACTTGATAATTCATCGTTTCATAGTCATTATGTGTTTGTATTTCTGGAATTATTTATTCAGCAGTGGAATACTTAAGAAACCTGATATATAAGCTCTTTGAGCAAGGGCAGTTTACCCCTCTCAGATATTATTCACAGCTGTCTGTATTAGTGTCATGACATCACTACATGGATTTACATCTGTTTCTTATTTTGTTAATGATCTTTTTTGCTGGATGATGTCCTGCCAGTGCCCTCAGCCATCAATTCCACAAAATGAGCACATCTTTTGTACAAAAATATACTCATACATTTTCTCATTTAAAAGTATCATCTTTCAAGCCAGTCATGTGCCTTTTTATTTTTGCCTTACAAGGAAATGAGAGACTTAATAAGTTATATCCACCGTTATCGCTGATCTTTTTCTTTTCTCTTCTCCATATGAAGTCTCCTCAACTTCACCAGGGATGAAGGAACTTCAGCAGCTTCCCTCTCTAAAGGATGGTGCATTTTATTCTGTTTTCTACCCTGGGCTTTCACATTTACTGGAGTCTCGATTTAAAAAGCACTCAAAATCTCCAAGGAAACTTTAGTGAAACTTAGGAACTCTTTGTTGCTACGAAATTGTTTTTAAAAACAAAAAGCACACCCAGACCTCTGATTTGTAAGGAAGACATGCAATCAGGGCCTTTGCCATGACATGTGATACCAAGAAGACTCACATTAACCTCATTTTCCCCTGGCTCTGCCAGGAGTGCAGATGTTAGTGAGGAGGGAGCCTTGCTGTTCACAGCTTCCAGCAGCATGACCTTTTTTACTGCTTCTCAGTCATCGGGCTTCCTAACACATGATAAATGTTTTAGGAGACACTGGAGTATTTCCAGCAGCAGAACCTCAGTCTCTTGTTTATTCATCTTTCACATCTGTATGATTTTGCTGTTTCAGCAGAGATAGTTCTTGAGTCAGCCTGATGCAGGGGAGAGGAGTGGTCTGACTCTGCCTGTCCTGTCAGCCCCAGACGAATATACATGGTGGGAACCTTGTTATGTATTCCGTTGGGAATTTCTAGCTCTGCTTTTGGGTTCAGTAATTCTAGGCTGTACTGCTGAGATTAGAGCCTGAACTGGAAACTGGCCTGGCTCTGCCCTACCCAGACTACTGGTACGAGGTGTTTGGCATTCTAGTTAACATATTTTTTTAAATTAAAAAAGTAAGCCCAGAGACGGTTTAGAAGGCAACAGCAAGCTATTAATCCACAAGTTGTACATCAAGCATTTATTCATCTTAAGCCAACAGCTGTTCCCTAGAGCTCTTCAGTGTTTAGGTGTTGATGGCTCATCCTTTAGACATGTAACAGGGTCACAGACACCTCTTGCCAGGGAGGTCTGGCACTGGGAGGATATTTGAAGGTGACTTCATCACTTGCTGTCTGAGAAAGTCCCTCATGAGACCAAACACAAAGAACCTTGTGCCCAAACACCTTGAGCACAACAGAAGCCACAAAGAACATCACTGGATTACAGGAAGGTGACACATCCCTGGGCTACTGGATGTTAAAAGGCATGGTGTGAAGGCTGGTGTGTTGGCAAAGCCTTTAAAACCTGCATTTATTGAGCAGATGGCAAGGAAGACTCAGAGGAAATACAGCTATTTAAGAGAGATGTGGTAGCTAGACACATCCAGGCTGGGAGACAAACAGATTTTCTGTGTAATACCCTTTACCACTCCTTCCCTCCTTTCTTCCCTCCCTCCCTACCCATTTTGCTTCTGGCTAAGCTGCCTTGCTTGAAGGCACATTCTTCTCAATGTGTCTGCTGACATGTGTCTTCTTTCCTTGTTTCCTATTTTAACAGTCTGGGTGGTCTCCTAGCCTGCTTGTCCCACGCTGGGAAATCCTGGTCCTTGGTGCCCCAACTCCCAGAGTGAGAGATGTCATATGAGGAGAGCACCCATGCAGAGCCAAGAGGGACAGAGAGCAGGTTTACAGCCACAGTGCCCGGCAGAGCCAACTCCTCCCCTCCACAGGGCTTGTCCTGGGTCATTCCCTGCCTGAGATCTGGGACTGGCACCAGCTCTTTAGCTTAGTCAGAACTGCACTACTCCCCATACAGAGTCACTGAAAAGTGAGATGTGTCCATCTCACGTCTGAGGCATGCCTCAGATTGCAGAGGCAGTGTTAAAAATACTCATCTGAGGTGTGCCAGGAAAAAGAACAGGGGAACAAAGGAAACCCCTGGACTTCTGTCCAGTTTGTGAAACTTTCCAGCTGGCTTTTCTTTAGGGAGTCTTGCTTGACTATGATTTAGGTTATTGAGGGTTGGATGTGAGTGGTTTTCTGCACAGCCGAGGATCTCTGGTGCTGGGACCTTGCAGTGGTCACAGGAAAGATGATGGTGCCTCATTCAGTCACACCAGTGTCACCAAGCAAGTCCCTCTTTCCAGGCACAGCAACACAGTTTAACACCAGAGTGGCCCAGGAGGGCAGTAAGGTGACTGATCCCTCAGAAAGGGAACTGATTCCACCAGGCTGGGTGGAGGGTGTTGCTGAGGGGGTTAGCAAGACCTGAGGGCTGATGCCTGGGAATCAGCTATAGAGAGGGAAGCATGTGGTAGCTCTGAGGTTGTGCTGAAGAACTGCAAAATGAGAGGAAACAAACAGTAAGGGAATAATTCCCTTTGGATGTGGTATGCTGGACAGGAAGCTCAAGTGAGAGGCAGAACAGAAGCACCTTTGTAAGTCAAGAGGCTGCAGTGTAAGAGCAATCCTCTTCCCTACTCACCTTTGCTTTGTTGTCCATGGTAACAGCCAGCTGCATCCTCTTCCCCATCCTGAATGTGAACATATGATCTGCTTCCTCCTCCTCCTCCTCTTCCTCACTGCCAATGCCAAATGCAGGGCTTGTAGGACAGGGGCTTCCCCATTTCTCACTCACCACCCTTTTGTCCTGGAAAATGAACCACTTCCATTAGCAAATCCAGGCCCTTGACCCAGGGATGTCTGCCTTCCCCAAACACACCTGCACACAAGCGGGGAGGCAGCTACAGAACAGACAGCCCTTGCCCCCAGGAAGTTCTCTGTGCCCAGCACACTGTTGTGACATTCCTGGGGAACAAGGGCCTTGTTGTCTGCTCAGCAGCAAAACCCACAAAGACAACAGGGCTGAAAAATCCTTCGCACTTACAAATCTGACATTTCAGACTAAAATGCCAGAGTTATGGGAAAGAAATGCCATCCTCATCTCTTTGTGCAGCACACTGAGTTAGCTTGGGAAAGCCTAAATCCTGCTGAAGGTGGCCTTGGAAGCCCAGTGGATGGCTGAGGGTGGTGCTCACCATTGAGAGGGCTGGGCTATCTTGTCCATAGTGTTCAGTCTGGGTAATTGCATCTTTCAGGTCCTGTATGAGAGAAAAATGTGTGCAGCAGCGCACCCTGAGAGAGGCGAGGGCCGTGCCAGGGTGGGAAGGGAGCAATGCACTGGCCTGGATCCAACAACCCGGAGTGCTGAAAGCAGGGTGGGCTGGCTCAGCAGGCCCTGCATGAGCTCTGGCAGAGGAGTTCACCAAGGGGTTAAGGCAGGACTGGCTTCCCAAGCCCCATGCTGCCAGGATGGGTGGACAGAGCTTATCAGATTTGGTCCAGTTAGGAAGGAAACCTGGGACTCACAGCCTCTGGCCCAGGGCCACTTGCTTTGCTCACTCCCAAAGCCTAAGGAGACCATAAGTTTTCCCAGCCTATGGCATTCTCAGAGGCACTCCTGATGCCTCCAGTGACACACACACACACATATACCTGATACACTCTGTCTACATAGTTGCAGTGATGCTGACACCTGGGACCTGTCCAGGGCTGAGTGTGCCTGTTCGCACAGCCAGTCATCTGCCAGTTATCTATTTGTGCATGGGTAGAGGTGCCTGGGCATGGCTGGAAACTTATGTGCAGCACCTAAAATCACTCTAATCACACACTTCTGCAGAATTTACCCACACTTTTCAGGGCTTAGGATCTATTTCCTGTGCCTCAGAGAACTTTGTTGTGGATAGTGTCTCTCAGAAACGCCACTTTGCAGCAGCAGAACTGGAGTGAGAGCTGGCCCGTGGTGAAGGAGAGGCACCACTTACATTGTGAGCTTTGGTGATGGTAATAGTAAGTCCATCCTGCTTGGGCCTCCTGGAGGTAACAGCCATTCCCCCCTGTTCCGCTCGCTTTTTGTCCTCTTCTATTTCCTGAAACACAGACATCCCCTTATCACAAGCCTGTACCTGGATGCTGTTCATTTTCCTGTTTAATTCTTCTAAACAAACCCACCTCCACCTCTAAGAGGAAGTAGGTCCCAACTTGTGTCCCAGTTATGGGATGCAGACTGAGGAAGGTGGCAGTGGACAAGGAGATGCTGCAGCAGTGTCTGTGTCAGTGTCTGTTCTCCGAAACAACTCAAGACTTGTAGTTAAAAGCTAAGGTAAAGTCCAAGCTAAAGGCAGAGCTCTGCCCACCTGCTCTGAGTGTTTCCAGTATAAACATGGTATCTGCGTAACATATTCATTCTGACTGTGCTGACAATCTTCTTTACACTGTGAGTTGAGGACCCCAAATCAGAGCTGGGGAAGGTAAGGACCTGCAGACTCACCTGGTACCTTCGTATCAGCGCTTCATTTTTTTTCCGCAAAGCCAAGATTTTCTTATCAAGTTCAACATCTTTCTGCTCTTTCTTCCTTAACACAGCATCATCCACAGCAGTATCCTGGAAAAACAAGGAGCAAAGCTCTTCTCAGTCATCTTACCAACAGTATGAAACCTGTTTCTTCTGTCTGGACAGGGTGGGAAGTGAAAGAGTCTTTCCCCATCACTTCTCCCAGACTTTTTCCTGACAGAATTCACGTTTGCCTTTCTTACAATTTTTGTTCAGCAATGAGATAGTTTGAGCAAAGCGCTGCTGCCCCACTTTGATGGCTGTCAGTGGGCTCCAGAGTTAACATCCTGCTTATCTGCATTCAGTACATGATCCTCACCTTCGTGTATTCTCGGGCACGGAGGAGGCGTGCTGGGTGTCAGACATCAGTGAGCAAAAGGCAGCAGAACCTGCTCATGACACACACCACAGCTCCTGCACCAGCCCATCCCCACTGGCATCCCCCATGACGGGTATCTGATCAAACAGCACCTGCCAAGGGCTGCTCCGCCAGGACACGGGGATACAGGCACACATCTGTGTCCAGGTGAGACAACAAGAACATTTAAACTGCCTCCACACATTCTTCTGCTGGACAATGGGATTTTGTCAAGATCTGTGGAAAACAAATGGTATTTCCATTGCCATTCATCATCAAGTATGTGACAGGTGAGCAGATTGCTTTTGTGGGTGGATATAGTTCCATGGGCATTTTGCAAGGCTGATTAAAGCCAAATTCGGTGTTTACCTGAATAGAAGCTGTTCTGGGAGCATTAAATTGGCAGGTTCACTGTTTACCGAGCTCTGGGGTGTTGGCTGCTGAGGGTGGGATCAAAGTGGTGCATGCCCTCAAACACACCCCTTTCATCTTTAGATTCTTTTGAAGGGGAATTGGCAGAGCTGCCAGCTTGAGAAAAATTTTTAAATTCCTGCAGAGGTTGTATTTGTGGTCTTCTCTTTTCAAAGCAAAAAATGAAAAAGGCCTGTCAGGCTGTTCTCCCTCTGCCCATTTGTCAGCATTTTTGTCTACGCTGCAAGACGGCTGGTGCCGGGGGAGGGGGTCCTTCCATTTCCAGCTAGAAACAAGTCACTGGGAGGAAAGTTTGCTGGTGTTCAGCACTTCTCCTCCCCTTTATTAGCGATGCCATTAAGGTGTTTCTCTCTGCACAACCTATTTCAGCAAATGCTGGGAGCTGTGGGCGGGAGGGGTCGCTCACCCGCACACCCGGGCCCCGCGGCCGAAGCGCTGGGCAGCGTGTGGAGCCCACGCTCAGCTCCCAGGGGCTCACCCATTGTCTGCTTCAGCCCAGTCAGCGTTTGCTCGTCAGCTGCCGCCCCGAGCCAGCCGGTAACAGGGGGCCGTGCCTTCTCCACCGTTTCTGGAACGAACCCGCTGCCCCAGTCGGTGCTGGAGCTGATGCTCAGGATGGAAAGTGGCTCCACCGTGCCCTCCCCAGAGTAAAGCTCTTCCGGGGAGCCAAGGTGCCCGTATGTCACCGCGACAGAGAGTTATAAATGGCTTTGGCAGAACAAACGTGCGATGGCTTTGAATCAGCAATTAGCTGAACCCAAAGCCTCCCCAACAGCAGGGCATAGCGACAGAACGAGAGGCCTCATTCTATTCCAAATTAAAATGTCACAAAAGGAGAAAATTGAAAGCTATCGGCTCTAGGCTTCAGTTAAATGACGACATCCCGTTGTGTCACAGCCCCTCTCCTAAGTGGCACACACACTGGCTACGCAGCTCCTTGGGGGCTGGAGGGACACCTCACCCCAGACTGTCTCTGCGTACAGTGTTTTCGCACACACTTCTACGATCGCCTGCTTCTACAGCAAGACCTCGGAGACAGCCGGGTTGGGAAAGTGTGAATGGCAGGAGGTGGGGGGAGGGAAAGGGGACAGGAGCGGCCCGTACTAACACTCTTCTGCGTAAGCAAATGTATCCGCTCTTTTTAAGAAATGTCCTCTTCCTTGACAGCTGCGGCTGAAGCCCTCACCAGCACAGGCACCATCCAGCAGCGCCTGCGTTTTTGTTTGTTATGTGCCTCCTGGGAGGCACCTTGTTCTGAGCCAGCCACCACAAACTGCCCCGGCGAGGGATGTAACCCCCGCCACCAAAATGCGCTCCCCCCAGCACCCCCCTCCCAGTGCGGTACGGCTTGTTTGCTCCCCGTGCCTGCTGGCAGCCAGGCGAGGCAAGAAAACAAAGCGACAGCCGCCGAAAGGCCACCCTGAAGGAAGCGAGTGCAAGTCCTTGCGTGGCCTTTTGGGGTGAGGGACCCCAGCGCCCCCGCCCCTCCCGGGCCCCGCGCAGGCAGCACTCACAGCTCGGTGCATGTTGGACATCGGCGGCGGAGCCCGGCGGATTCCAGAGCAGAGCTAAAAGAGGAGAGCCATCAGACGGCCTTTCTCAGCACTGGTTGCACAGCATACAAGATCATGTTTTGATTACAAAAGCCTCGTCTGGGCTCCCAGCCAAGAGCACTGGCTGCCTAATATACCAAGCACAGACAGGGTTTGGAGTGCCTGTGTCCTCCTCTCCAATCTCACTCTCTTTTTAAAAGAAACACTCCCCCTTTCCCCCCCTCCTGACTCCTTTTAACTTCCTGATGCCACAAACCCTCGTTCAAAGTGGGAAAAGCTGGGTGAACAATGACGGATGGATCAGGCAAACAGCTTGGCTTCGCTGTGTGGCCATTCACAGGGTCGTGTTGTTTGTTATGCATGGCTGGCTCCACGCCTGGTGGGCCGGGAAATATCAGGGGTCCTGGATGTCTTGTGAGTGTGTGTGCACGAGCCTGCATGGGAAAACATGGATCAGATTTGCCTTTTTCTGTTTCATTTCAGTATTCTCTGGGAATGATTTCCCCACTGTTAAAAGTGGGCCTTTCTTTCAGGAAGGAGCAGAAGAGTGCTGTGGATGGGCATCACCAGCTGGCAGCAGGACTAGCAGGAAGCACACAGCCAAAGCAGAGGGACTGCTGTAAGCCCCTGTCTGAAAGCTGCCAAAACAACCCTGAGGATAGTCACAAGTAGCAGCAGGGCTTTGAGGGAGCAGCATTCAGCTGCTTCATCTTGAGTCACCACATGAACCTTTACCTCCACGACAGGATATCCTGAGTTAGAAGGAACCCACAGGATCGTCCAGCCCAACTCATGGCTCTCCCCAGACACCACAACAATCCCACCCTGTGCCTGAGAGCATTGTTCAAACCCTCCTTGAGCTCTGGCAGCTTTGGAGCCATGACCATTCCCTGGGAAGCCTGCTCAGTGCCTGACCACCCTCTGGGGCTGACATCCTGCCTTACCCTTCCATGACACAGCTCCAGCTCTTCCCTCGTCTCCTGTTCCTGGGCATAGAGATCAGAGATCGGAGCTGCCCCCCACTGGCCCCCACTGCAGACCCCAATGAGTCTCCTCCAGGCTGAACAAACCTCAGCCATGTGTCCTGGCCATGTGCTACATTCTCCCTCAGCACAGACTGGCTGCCCTCTCCCTTCATCCTAAGGGACACAGATTAAGTGTGAGGCAAACAGGAGATGGAAGCACACCAGGGAATGTTTTGTTGCCCAAGGACTGATGCACAGCCCCACCTTAATGTGGGCCCTGATATGTTCATATGGTAAAAAAACGAAGCTGGTCCACTGCTGCCAACTGACATTTGAGCAGGTCAACTCCTCACAAAATCTGAGAAGACTGACTTGAAACCTAGAGCAGTTTAAGGGAGATCTGCCAAAGACTTTGCAGAACTCAGAATCTGGTCCCTTCTTTGCGCATGATTTGGACATCACGGCTAAGGCACTAAGGAGCTGGAAGAACAGCTTAGTAAAAGCTCTTAGAGGGACAGACTGACCTTTTTTAATTAGTAGCTACTCAATGATGAAAGGAAATTGAAATAATTTCCAAGGCAGTGCTTCTGGATTCAGTCTTGATGAAGGAAATGAAGACTCATCTGTGGGCAGAAAATAGGGAAAAAGAGCTTTGCTAGAGCCTAAGTGCTTGTCAAGATGTTTGTGGTGGACACATATGCAGGAGATGTAGAGTCATGTGGAGCTTTCCCTTGGCCTAGGAACGCAGGGGAACTGTAGGATGGCACTGCCTGGGTTTTCCAAGCTGGCACACTCTCTTTTGAGGGTAGAGTGATATCCCATTTTTAGCTGGGCTGGTGGCCACAGGGACAAGGTCACCCAGGGACTGGGTGGAGTCAGGGAGTCAGTGTTCATGGAAACTCTGAAGCCCTCACCAGCATAGGTACCATCCAGCACTGTCTGCACTTCTGTTTGTTATGTGCCTCCTGGGAGGCACCTTGTTCTGAGCCAGCCACCACAATCTGTTCCGGCGAGGGATGTAAACCCCGGCACTAAAATGCGCTCCCCCCAGCACCCCCTCCCAGTGCGGTATGGCTTGTTTGCTCCCCGTGCCTGCTGGCAGCCAGGCGAGGCAAGAAAACAAAGCGACAGCTGCTGAAAGGCCACCCTGAAGGAAGCGAGTGCAAGTCCTTGCATGGCCTTTTGGGATGAGGGACCCAGCTCATTATCCTGTGCATTATCCTGTTTGTGGTGGTCATGTCTCTCGCCTCAAGGACACTGCACACTGTATTGATGCCGAGGTTCAGATTAAAACAGAAACCATTACCCCAAACTCCAAGGCCAGGTTCTGTGGGCAGTGCAGGGTGAAAACCACATGCAGCTGGGTCCATTGTGCTGCCCATGTCATGCTCAAATTATGAAGGCTTAAGCCAAGTCCTCACAAGGAGTTTCTCCAAATTTCTCCTGACTTCACAGCCATGGTATCCTATATCCTTGCCATTCCTGGCAGTGTGGCCAAGCTCTTCCAGCAATGAGCAGTGCCATGAACAGGGTTGAAAATCCCTAAAATACCTTTGCCTTTGCAGATGTCGCTGGAGAGCTGCATTTCCCTCCAGGGCAGTCTCGGCTGCTCCTGACCTCAATACAAAGAGCTGACATGTCTCAGCTGTCCTTTATCATGTCTGAGTGGCACAAATGACAAGCGCCTACTTCTGCATCATCATCTGAGATCAATGGGAACCCTCAATGTACACTGCAGGCACAGAAACCCAGGGGCAAAAGGGCCCAGCCAAGGGAGCAGCACCTGCAGCTGCAGCAGTGGGGCAAAACAGGCTGGTTTGGGGATGTGCTTGTGCCCTTGGGACAGTCAGTGGAGAAAATAAAACCCTATAAATGTCCCGAGATTTATGGAATTATGAATATACATATACATTTAATTATTTCCAGCACTGTGGCCAGGAAAGGCTGCAGTAACACCACAGGTGTCCCTAGTAAAAAGCTGTCAAAACCCCTGATTTTCTCTAAAGTGCAGTGTCAATCCCAAAACTGGCACTACCTTCCAATGAGGTCTGTGCCTACATCAAGCTATGGACAATCCTTCTGGACCATCATTCAGGTACCAGGGATTCCAATACCCAGAGGTTTGCTTTTGGGAAGGAGAAGAACCAGAGAAGGTTCCTAGTCTCCTGCTCTAGTGAGCAAGGTGTGCTGGATGCATGACATTTTTGGAGTCCTGCAGGACTTCAGGACACACTGAATCCTGTTCACACCAACACTCCCACCTGGGTGGCTGCAGGACACCAATCCTGCTCTCTCCAGCCATTGGCAGCAGCACTTCCCACATGCAGCAGCTTGACAGAGTACTTCAGATAGCAAGTGTAACCTGCATCCATGTGCAACAGGAAGGACATCTGGAGAAACCAGCTTCATTACTCACTCAGCAATTTGTACACCACACCTACAGTTAATTTCTTTATTCTTTAAAATCACAGAAGACCTTTCATAGTTGAGATGGTCTAATTCTGGGCTCTCTTGTGCTCTGTTTGGTGCCATCTCTGAAACTGCTCAGCACAGTGGGCACATGGAGTGTACCCAGGTTGGCTTTGTGGTTTCTGCTTCATGGATCTGTCAACTCTTGCTAACCTTGGGCTGCCCCCAGAGGAGCAGTCCCTGGGGGGGACAGAAGATTCCTTCAGGAAAGTCTTGCTGTGGCTGTGCTACACAGAGGCTCAGCTGACTGTCCTTAAGCATAGCCTCCAGCTGCCTACTTGGAGTCCTCACTCTCCACTCAGGCCAAAGTTTGCTGGAGAATTTTCTGGGGCCAAGGAAGGAAAGTAGGGCAATGACCTCTCCATTTTGTGTTTGTGACAGTGAAATAGTTCCTTTATCTAATTGCGTGCTGCAAGGCCTTTCAGTTTTGGCACAAAGAACCATCCCTGACAGGAGTCTGCCATCTCCCTGCTCCAGGACAGCACTCAGCAGCTAGCTGAAGTTTTGCCCCATATTTTATCAGTAAGACTCTATCTCTCTGCTTTACACCAAGACTGAAGGAAAGAATCTGATTCTTCAGAAAATGCAAACTTGCCTGCCCTGAGAAACATTCCTGGCATCCCTTCATCAGCCCTTCCACCAGCAGGAACTGCTTTGGCTTGAAATCCTCTCTCCTTTTCCTTTTGCACTCTGTGAAACTCCTCCAGAGCCACTCAGTCCCATGCTGCCACTTTTCCCAAGTGCTCTTCACCCAGCCTTATCCTGGCTCCTTTCCATTTTTTGCATGACCGCTATCGAGTCAACAGATGGCACTCGGGAACTGCTGGGAGGATCTGTGAGGCAGCTGCCAAAAGCCCACTGAAGGAGCTGAAGTCTGGATGCTGTGGGAGGCTGTTTCTGTATTATGTGTCAGGACTGCAGATAAGGCACAGGGCCGAGTCTCAAGGCACGGCTGTGTGCAGCGTTGTGCTGCCCGAGGCTCCTGAGCTGAACTAGGAATCTTTCTCCAGGCCTTGGATTGAGGGAGGGATGGGAACACAGTGTATCAAAGAGTTCCGGGAGGCCTGGAGGCATACTTCCTACCAAACACACAGCAAACTTCCCTACAATAAGGCAATTCCTCTTGCCTCTCTTACCCCTCCCAGTTCTGGTCCTTCAGGCAGCTCCACTGCAGGAATAAAAAGGGGTTGAGGTGTTTCCTCCAGCCAGTAGAAAGGTCAGCGTATTCCCTAGACTGGGAAGAGGGACCAGGCAGGAACCTTAAATGGGCTTTAGCTGGAGAGACTCATAGGGATCAAAGGGCTGCTGAGACATTAGTTTTTAAATGGATCAATATACAATTAAAATTAAAACTACCAAAGCCAGTTAAAGGATGTAATAGCAGCTTGGTCCTGCTTAAAAGCAGTAAGAAACAGAGCTGCCTGTTGGTACTTCCACAGGGGTACCAATCATGGCACATCACAGAAACATCTCAGGATGTGCAGAGCAGCCCTCTTCCTGTTTGGAACAAGACATCCCCTCTTTTCCCCTTCCCTGTGCATCATCCCAGCCTGCAGGGTCCTGCCTCAAGTCCTCTGAGTGAGTTCTGTGCATACCATGTTTAATGCCACCTTGAAAAACCTATGATCTTGTCAGCTCTCCCAATATTTTCTGCTCCTGAAAACTTGTCATTCCAGTGTAAGACCTCTGAAGTAGTCATAGGCTGAGCAAATGAAAAATTAATCTGTCCACTTAGTTTTTTTTATTTGCAGACACACTCAGCAGGGACAAATACAGGTTTGCTGACCTTGTTCACTACTCAGCCTTCAGATGTAGGACACAGGACCCAGCCTTGGAAGGGTGTGAGGCTGTAGAAAGTGGCTGGGACAGCCAGTCAGGCAGGTTTTTTCATCTTTTATGGAAATGTAGTCCTTGGGGAAAGCATGGAATGCTGCAGACAGCAACTTGTTTGCCCTGTCATCAGCAGGAGCCCAAGGAGGCTCCCCATTCCAGCCCATGGCTTCAGCCCAGATCTAGGAGGATGTGGACAGCCCAGTGGCCTGGGCTAACAAGCTGCAAATGAGCAGCCAGGAGCCAGCTTGCTCTTGACAAGGTCACATGCCCTTTGTAAACTCCAAAAAGTCACAATTATTCCACGTATGGTTGCTTTGGGGCTACACAAATGATAGTGACCCACTTTGAGTCCAATGCAAGAAGAAAAAAGAGGCAAATTTGGTGTCTCTCATCCCAGCCAAACTCCATTAAAGTGTAACAAACCATCTCATTTCCCTTTGCCAGAAGAACTCAAAAGCAAGCTCCAGAGACCAACCTTGGCTCCAGGGTTTGAGCAGGACTGAAGAATCTCCGTGGGCTCCAGCGGCGCCACTTCACACGGATGCTGCATGGATTCTGACTGGGCTCAGCAGGGAGACTGGCTTTTCTTGTGCAGAGGGTCAAGTTGTGCAGCTGATTGGGAGCACAAGGGAAGGACCAGCCTGCACGAGGCTCAGAGGCATCTGGGAAGGGAGGAGATGAAAAGGGGAGTCAAGGTGGCAATTAAATATTAAAGGACAAGTTCAACAATAATTAGTACTTGGGTGAAGGGAAGGGGTGGAGGTGCATGTGGTGCCTGGAAAATAGAATAGATCTTTCCAACAATGTTAGAGTGAATATAAAAGCAAACCTTTTCTTGAAAGCTTGCAATTACACTATATGGCAAAAATCACACATGGTATAGTAATTCTACAATTTTTATAAGGTTAATCAATTAGTATACTTACCATATACTGTCCACTTAAAAGGTTAGTTGCTTAGGTAATAATTCCTGGGGTGTCCACTGGAAGCAGTTCAGAGATTTCTTTTGCCTCACTGTTATTATGTCTGGTCCAGATTCTGGTTGGCAAACAGAATGAGCTTGTAATTGGTTCTCTTCTTGGAATAAGACTACACAATATTTAGGTTTATAAAGTTGTCCTACTGCTCCTAAATGTAGGAAAGAAAGAGAGGAAAACTACTAGAAGCTACAGCCATGCTTTAGCAATCTACAAAGCTACAAATATATGAAAAATATAAAAAGCTAAAAATCCTAGGCCTCACATGAAGCACTTGCAGACTTGCTGGGCTGTGCTTGGCTGCTGAGTGCTTCACTCAAGTGGCAGAAAACTTCTGAAAGTGAAAATAATCCCTGCTCCAACAGGATAGAAATAATAATTCAAGAGGGTGATACCTTTCTCTGAGCAACTATTTTGGGTCTCTGAGTGAGATCCTGAGCCAGGTGATTCTTCTTTGGGAATGTGGACATTTTGGCCCTTTTGACTTGATCTCTGCAGCAAGGCTGAGGTATTGTGCAGGCCTGGGGACACTGTGCAGTCCAAACACATGGGATTAGGGTGGGCTACAATACAGGGTTCAGGGTTTGTAAAAAGGAAAATTCAATTTCCTTTCTCCCTGGAATATTTTGTTTACCTTTAGAAAGAATTGATTTAAAACACTCTTCCTTTGCCCTGGTTATTGAAACCTTTTGATGAGAAAGGTTTGGAACAAATAATTAAAGATGCTTAGATGCTTTTTCTGGAAGCACCAGATGAAATACTTGGAGCATTTCTGAAGCTCAGTTACTATAAAAAAAAACAAAAACCAAAAAAAAAAAAACCAACCAACAAAAAAAACCCCAGAAACATTTCAACAAATATGAGAAGTGTAAGCTTTCCACTTCACTCATGTATCTGCTCTTGAGCCAGAAGAACTGGTTTTTATCCCCCCAATGCTCTGATCCTCCTGAAATGAGCCATTTTGGCCAATTTCCTCGGCAAAATGTCAACTGGGCCATCTCTGGATGACATTGACATGCTGGCACTGGCCATTGGAACCTTGTTTAGGCTGTGAAGGTATTTTAACAGGCACAGTTAGTCAAGGTGTGTCACATATCCCAGCACCTTCTCTGGCCTTCTCCAGGCAGAAAATTTATGTCCCAAATCCTCTTAGGAAGAATATTTATGTGCAAAGGATGAATTAGTCTGGGATATCTCAGAGTGCTCAGAGGGAACTGGCTCACTGTCAGTCATGCTTGGAAATGGTGTGAACATATGGGTGGCTTCAGAGTGAATGTGGCTGTGCTCCCAGCACACAGCACTGGGAAAAATGGGACAATATTGCTACAGTGAGACTTCCCCTGCCAAGACAAAGTGGAATTGGGTCTCCATAGGCCTCCTGCCCCTTCAAACACACTGCAAGTTCAGCACATCTCTTTTTTGCTTCAGTTTGCAATGTACTGGTGCCCAGAAACATAACTACCACATGCCTGCAACATTCTAAGCCCTGGTAGGTATTGGGTCAACAACTATTCAGAGGTTTCCAGCACTGCCAGAGCCTTGCAGAAGCCTGAGAAAGAGAAAAGGGCCCTGCATGGATCTCTCCTTTCTGTGCGCTGTGGCCATGCTCCAGCACACAGCCTGGGCAGAAATAATGACTGACAATCAAAAACAGCCTGTGAGCCTGATTCCTGAGTCCCTTTCAACCTCATGCCTTAAAATGGTGTGTACTGAGGAGGATGCTTCTTATCAACACAGACAACTGCACAAATTTTGGAAGGTGATAGCTCCTCCAAGCCCATCCCAGTACAGAGTGGTCACAAACAGCACTGAACAAATAGGCACAAAATCTTATTATTTTAGGTAGTTATACTCCTAAAAACTCAACATTTTGTTGCGTCTACAAACAAGGAAAAGGCCATAATGGACCAGTAGCAAGGAAGAAAATGGTGGGCTTTGTGGAGTGCAAACATCTGCAGAGACACAGGTCCTTCTGTGCACAATGATATTGCTTGTGTTGTGCTGCTGGGACAGCAGCAGATCACACTGGCTGTGTAGAGGAGACCCAGCATCCTTCTGGGCCTTTCTCTTCAGGCACCCAGCACCAATGGCTTTGGTGTAAAATGTAAACGTTCAGACAACAGCTCTGTCTCAGGTCCTGGCACTGAAACCATGACTAAAGCACTTTATATCTCTAAATTAATCCCTCCTGAAGCTTCAGGAGGTGGGCAGCTACATTCACCTGTAAAATAAGCTCTGCACAGTGAGGTGACTGGGGCTCAGTTGGCTAATGCAATGCTGCCCCCGCCAGAGAGCTGTTCTCTGGATAAGGAAGCAATTTCAGTGGCTGAGACAATGGGAGGTTTATGCAGCAGGAGCAGCCAGGACTGCTGCTGTACCCATGGAAATCTTCCAGCACGGGAGGTGTCTGGCACACTGTCACTGGCTTCGAGCAGCAGAAATACCCTGGCTATTTCATTGCTCCAGTGAGCAGTGACAAACCAGGGCTCATAAGCTGGCTGCAGATCCACAAGCCATTGCACATTGCCTGGAAACCAGCAGTCTGCTGCAATCCGAGGCAGCTGCGCAATGATCCTCAGCCTTGCTTTGGCCATGATGACTTCAAGGGCTTGGGTGTCCATGAAACTCATGACATGAGTGGTTTTGCACAGTGCAAAACATCACAGTGGTGTCCCCACTTCAAGCTGTCGGCTTTGAGCATGGTTTCCCTGAGATTCTGGGTAGAATTGCCTGCAGAAAGAGAGGCAGGGATGCATCCCAATCCAAAGAGACTGATCTGGACCACTTGGCCTCCATCCTGCTGACTTACCCATCGTGGTTTGCCAGGCACTGTGAAAGAAAGCATTCCTCTAGATGAAGGATGCTCATATCTTTATGGAATTGTCTTATGGGAAGCATTTATGTTCCTAGTTCCTAAAACAGTTTGGGAACCCCATTTACTTGTCCTTCCTGCTCACCCTTAGATTGTTTCTGTAAGGAGAGGAAATCTTGGGATCTGTATACGCCTCTCCTAGAGTGACATTGAGATTTTCTGCCCCAGTCTCAAACTGGCCAAGCACAGGGAGGTCAGAGTGACAATATTCCAAATGACACAACACAATAAGGAGCACATCAGCTTCCGGCTGATGAGAGAGGCAGCTCCTCCTCTCCTGCACTGCAGGGGCAAGAGCCAAGCAGGTTTGAAGAAAGGGATTCCTGGATTCCCGAATTTGGCCACCACAGCAGGTTTCCACAGCCCTGGCTATGCAGCAGCAGCCCCAGGAGGGACGTGGGCAACACTGCTGCCTGCGTCGGGCAGTGCTTTGCAGCCAGGAGGGAGCATAAGCCCTGCTGTAGCCCTGCCCTGGCTAAGGGCAATGAAAAATAATTCATACATGTGCTGAATACCTTGCAGCAGGACGGAGGAAACCTGCCAAGCTGTGGGAGTGAGGAAGCGTGATCACCCCCACTTACCAGACAAGGAGTTCACACCTCAGGCTGAGCCAAACTAAAGCTGTAAGATGTGCCTGTCTGTCAGGAGTGGTGGGATGTTTGGAATCCAGCTGATTCCCACCATCCCTGCAGCTCCCATGGTTCTATTAATATAATTACTGTTGCAAGAATTATTATTTAGCATCAGGAAGAATGAAAAGGAAATATCACCCATGTCCTTGTTACCACATTAATGCCAGCCAATCTTTTCAGCAGATACCAGGTTTCAGTCTTTCCTGCTGGGCCACACCAATATAAGCTGCTCTGGAGCTGCTCCTCACAATGGATCTGATCCTACCAGACAAGTGACATTTCTGTGGCTAAGGCTCAGAACAGCAGGCTGGTCCCCTGCAGCCCAGCCCAGAAGAGAGCATCACGCTGGGCCAGAGGCGCTGCCTGCAGCCTGTCCTCAAAACTCCCTCCTGCCGGGTTCAGAGAGGTGTCAGCCTTCGGTGGGAGAGAGTCACCCATCCTGGCATTAGGAAAAGCTTTTTGTTCTTTAAACTGCCTCGGGCATTTAAGTCATTAAGGCAGGAAGGGCTTACTCTAAGCAGCTAGAGGATTAGTGGAAGTTATAGGATACTCTCCGTTCTAATACTTTCCCTTTTTGCTTCAGCTTTTCTGTATGTGTGAAGCAAAAAGGATGCCACCCTCATGAGAAAGAAGGTCACTGCCACTGTGAGGTCCACAGACATGGCTACAAGGAAGGAGAAGGTCACAGCCATCCCCACATACACACAGTGCATGATGACAAGGCAGAGAAGGTCACTGTCACTCCCATGGCCAAACACACAGCCATGAGAAAGCCCCAAGCCCTTCCTACAGGAGTCATTGGCATGGTCATTGGCATGACAGCAGCTACAGAAGGAGTAGCCACCTTCCACCAGCTCTGTGGGAAGTTATCCCCATGCACAAGGAGACATGTGGCTACCACCCAGCTCAGAGCAATGTCATGGTATGGATAGACAAGGACTGAAGGATCCTGCAAAGAGGTGGACATGCCTGACCTTCTTGTGTTCTCCATATTTTCAATTCAGTAGTTTAAAACCTACCATCTATTTAAAAAAATAATTTACCTATTTGATGCTTCTAAAAGCCAGCAATTCAAAACGCTGCCCTGCACCTGCCACATAGGGTCAGGAGCACTTCTAGGAGCATTCCCAGCCCGGGCCAAGCAGGAGCACAACTGCAGGGATGAGGGACTTTTCGCCCAAAGGATGCCCAGTGCCCCGAGCTCCAGTTCCGCACCCACAAGCTGAGCCCCATACCCGACAGCCAGGCTGGCCCCGGGCTCACAGTTCCCCCCGCAGCTCTCCTGCTGCCGGCGGCTGCGCCCCCATGCCCCCCCCCCCCGGCCCCCCCGTGCCGGGCCCGCCTCCGCCTCCGCGGCCGCGCAAGCGCCGCGCCGAGCCGGGCAGAGCCCAGCCGGGCAAAGCCGAGCCGAGCCGAGCCGAGCCGAGCCGAGCCGCGCTGCGCCGAGCCGAGCCGAGCCGAGCCGAGCCGAGCCGAGCCGAGCCGAGCCGAGCCGAGCCAGGTAGAGCGGCGCCGAATCGGGCAGAGCCGCGCCGCACCGAGTCGAGCCGAGCCGGGCAGAGCCGGGACGCGCCGGGGCGCTACCGCCACCCCCGCTCCGGTGTGTTCAGCACCGTGGGCACGGACAGCGCCCGCCGCCGCCGGCCATGGAGGCCGCGCCCACCCCGCCGCCCCGGGAGCCGCGGCCCGAGGGGACGCGCCGCGGTTGTGACCCCGCCTCGCCCAGGTAGGAGCTGCGGGACCGGGACGGGGGCGCGGAGCCACTGCCCCGGCGGGTGGGAACTGCCGCCCTGTTGCCACCTCTGGTTCTATGTGTGGAAGTGGTTGGTGTCACCGGGCTTTCCTGGGACCAGGCCCTCCCAGTCCCGCCGAGGTGTGTCCCGTCCTCCCTCCGAGGGTGCAGAGTCCCTCGCTGCCTGCCCAGCTGTCCACCCGCGACTCGGGCTCTGGCGATGTGTGCTGCCCAAACGGGGTCCTGGCTGCTCCTGCCCTGGGGCCAGGAACATCATGCACAGCTAGTCGTGCCAGGGGGGCTTCCTGGTTTGGCCTCGTGGGCAGGTTTCGATCCTGCAACATGGTGTGCTCTCTCTTCTGCAGCAACGGGAGAGCTATTGTTGGGAAGCTCAGCGTGTTTCAGACAGTGCCTTATTGCACTCAGCTGTGGGCAAACGTGGGTTTCAGTGCAAAGATCTCATCCATAAACCCCCACATCCCCTCTGTGCCATATGCTTCCTTACCTGGTGTCTTAAGCACGATTGGCAGCCACAATCATCAACATTTTCTGGAAACAACAAGCCCATAATCATGGGCAAGGAGCCATCCCATATTCACAAGTACATTGGCATTTGTTAGAGCAGGGCAACAGACCTAAGCTCTTCAGATTCTGCTTGACAGAGCACACCCCGAGGTAAGGAGCATACAAATCCTTTCTGAAAGCCCAAGGGTTCCATTTCTGTCTGGTACAGGATATTCACGCTGAGGGAGCCCCACCCACCTGGGAGCACTGACAGGGCAGTCACTGCTCATCAGCCAGCTCTGATGTCCTCAGCCAGAGGCTGCTGTGCCTGGGGGTCTCATCCTTCAGCAACTCTCACACCGTTCAGCACAGGTTTAGACCTTGCACATTCAGTGGGGGCCAAGCTGTCACTGGAGCCATTTTCTTTGATTGTCTGAGTACTCCTTAGCCATTCAGACAGGTCTTGAAATAAGCAGTGCAGCCTGCAAGAGGTAAGTTACAGAGAATTAAGCCACCTGACACGGGTGTATTTCAAACTTCACCCTTGCTGCTCACTTAGTCTCCACCCTCTGCCCTAGCCAAGGCTCTTCATCATCAATGCTCACCTCATCAGCAAAAACCCACAGATGTCAGAAAATACCACCTTCCTCCTGGCCTCTTTTAGCTGGGGACACTAAGATGGGGATTTTCTTTTCCTTTCCCTTTCCATTTCACTCTTTTTTTTTCCTTCAAAACAAGGCTTAGCACACATGATTTTCCCAGTGCAGACAGAGCTGTTCTGGCACTGAAGGCTGGGTGGGAGCCTTGAGCCCTCTGTGTCTGGGTCTATCCCAGCACCTGTATCCACAGCAGCAACAGCAGCTGCCAGGTGTAAAGGTAAGGCTGTTGCACGAGTCAATGGAAAGGATTATAAAACTAAACTTTTCCTGGCAGACTACGTGGGAAGCAGAGTTTTGCAGTCTCATTAATTTTTCATGATGATTTAACATACTCAGGAGTCTCACTAACAAAAAAACTGTAGGTCTTCTCAAGGGTATGCATGATCCTGCTGCTAGACTGAAAAAGCAAAACAAAAGAACTCCGCAGGAATTGTTCAGTGCACAAGGATTTGCCGCAGCCAAAGGAGGAAATGGATTGCTCAGGAGTGCCTGTCTCTCCCTGTCAGGGACACAGGGAGCTAGATAACGAGGTGACAGTGAAACGCAATGAACCCTTCCCTAATCCCAGGGACAGGGCATTCTTATCTCCTTAGAAAATAAAAGAAAAAAGCTCTTTTTCTCAAGAGCTCCACTGCAGTTTTGCTGGTGGTATGTTCAAAGAGAAATTTAAATTTCATTATAAAAGCACATTCTTAAAAAGTAATTTACATCTCTCGAGGAAAAAGCTATTAGTCTAGATGGAAGCTGACCTATAGCACATGGATTTAATCCAGAAAGAATTCATATTTCTTTTTCACTTGAGAACACTTGTACAGCTGATATGCAAACAAAACTCTGCTAGAGGAAGGAAAAAAGGGGAAAGAGAAACAAACTAGCTTTTTTTTTTTTTTTTTAAATGAATGAAATTTTGTGGCACTTAATGTCTAATTGAGCAAAGGTTCTTGATGAAAAAGGGCTCCGGTTGTAGGCAAGGTACAGACTTCTGCCATTTTCCTCTTTGTTTTTATTCCCCCTTGAGATTCCTCTGGCAACAGGAGAAGTTGTAGTTTGAGTCAGGCATCAGACAGCTCCATTCACTCGGTAGGTGTTTCCCATCTTTCATATGCAAAGTGCTTCTTTCTTGATCCTCTCTTTAGTATGCAAAGGGGGAAATGATCTATTAAAAAAAACCCAGTGCTTATAGAAATGGGTTTAGTGAGGAGGGTGGAATTAGGCAGAGAGAGAAAGGAGCCATTCCTGCAAAAGGCGGAATATTTTTGGCCCATTACCCTCTCAGAAACTCACGTGCTCTCCTGCTGCTGTGGCTTGAGGGGGGACAGGAAGAGCCAAAAACTGGAGTCACTCAGGAAAAGGAAGGTGCCCATATGCTACTATTTCCCTGCCCACAAAGCTTCCTCCATCCCAGCTTGGCTCTGTGTGCTGCAGAATGAAACCATCCTGAGGGGAATGTGCTGGGAGCAAGAAGCCAACAGTGGCATGTTTCCAGTAAACCACCCTGCTAGGGCTCAGTAAGCAGCTAAAGCCTAAAGCCAGGTCCTGCAGCCATTCTCTGTGGGGCAGAAGGATGCTGGTCTCTGGAAGAGGGAGATAATCCCTGCCAGAGGGGTGGACTGACAGCATACAGCCCTTGGCTCCTGCCACAGATCCTTTATCCCACCACTGCTCCACATCCTTGCAGACCTAGAATGGCAGAAAACTGTCTCCTTAAAAATCCTCTTTCCTGTTTCCTTGTGGGAAGAAGCTCCACTCCTTTTGCTGGGTCCCCTACACAATATGGGGTGTTTGTGCCCTGGTAGTCGTCTCAGACAAGCACTGCTCCACTCAGAGTGGCTTGGGCAGGTCCACAAATTGGATTATTATTCTGTCTAGACATCTCAGGGCAAGAGACAAGGAAGCAAACAGTGAGAGCAACACAGCTCACTGGTGGGGGTAACAGGAGCAGTTAATCCTAGTCCATCCCTTCCCTTACAAGCCTTCTTTTCTCCTTTCCCAGCATCTCTCTGGTTGCATCCAGCTGAGCCTGGAAAAGAAAATGGAGGCTGTCAGCTGCCTCTGTAGGCTTTTCTGCAGCCGAGAGACCATTTCTGCCCATTTAATCCCAAATATCAAATATCTGACACAGCCCAGAGTGGGAATGAATATGAAAAATAAAAGTCTTTGTCAGTGTCAGCATGGCAAGCAGAGTCCAGTGTGGTGCTCTGCCCTCTTCTCCTCATGCCTGACAGCAAACAGACATCAGAAATTCCCAGAAACATTTTTTCTAATATAGTTCAGGGTCCTGAGGGCCCAGAAAAGTAATAGCGACAAGGTTTCAGGCAAAGAAGGAACAGCCTATGTGTCTGGTGCAGACCTCAGCAGACCAAAGGTTAAGCTCACCAGCACTACAGCTAATTGGGAGAGCAGCAAGTGGAGACTCAAACTCTGCTGAGCTGCCAGCAGTGATTATCCAAACCGATCATTATTTGCAAGCTCCAGGTTTCCCTAGAGATTGTGGATAGCCAAGGTCATATTGTCTTGGAGTTGGAGAGGGATGAACATAAGGGAACTCATATCTAGAGGGTGATTGAGAGAGCTGTAATTGTTTAGTCTGAGAAAGAGATAATGGAGAGAAGTAACGAGTGAATGATATAAACTTGCCAAAGTTATTCCAGAATCTGAAGTCACTGAGCAGGTCAGGAATTGAGTTAGGAAACAACATGCGGGGGAAGAGCAGATCTTGACAGCATTTCACAGCAAAGATGGTAAACAAGGAGAGTGTGATTTCATGTGAAATATTAGACTCAATGTTACTAACGTATGTGCAGAAAACCCGGAGGCAATCTGCAATATCCAAGAGTTTGGCATCTGCTTTCCCCACCAGGAGGTTTTGTAGCCGAAGGGTTTGTGGAGGAAGAATTTGTCATTGCATGGTCTCCTGCCTCTCCCTGACCATGTTCAAGTGTATTTTGTAAAAGCCCTTTTGTTCTGCCCAGTGTCACATACTCAGCCTCAGATGAGGCAGACAGGCCAATTAAGTCATGAAAAGCCTCTGGTCCCAGATTACTGTGCAGATACAGTAGTTTAAAGGGCTAAGAATTTTGCTTTTCCTTTGGAATAAAAAATCAGAAATATAGTACAGGTGTAGGAACACCAAAACACAGGATGCCAGTGCAGCAGTGTCTTTATGAATTACGCACTGTAGGAGAGCATCACCTATTTAAAGTGTGCAAAAACTAGGGAAAACAAGAGGATTAAGGTCGAGAAAAAAGAGTAACTTAGAGGCAACAAAAAGGGAGTCAGAAAAGGTCTAGACCTTGTCAAATCATAACACTACCATGACCTCAGCCCTCTGATGAAAATTCCCCACAGTACAAAACTACAAACCACAAAGAAGTCACTGGACACATGGGAAGAGTGGGATGATTTACACTTAAAGCTTGAGAGTGTGGCTTGAGGGACCCTCCAGGTCAGCTGTCCCAAACGACTTTTGCCCCTGCAGCTCACTAGCATTGTAGAGGACATGGTGGTTTAGCATCCTCCCATCAGGTTGCCTCTATAATTAGTAGAGAAGTGCAACGACTAATTAAAGGTGTAATTTTATGTGTTGACTGCCACAGACCCTAAATCTTTCCCTGGTCTGTCTGCAGCACTCCTGCCCCGTGCTGCACCTGAATACCTCCCCATTTAGAGATGGCTCTGATGAGGCTGTAAGAACCCCAAACAAGATTTCAGATTGCATCTCCTGAGCAGCTTTGCTGGCACTGCATTTGTAATCTCATATATGACAAGTACGGAATCTCCTGTTGTGAACTACCTTTACACAGAGGTCTAACACAAATCACACACTTGAAAGGCCAAGTAATCCTGTCACTAATCCACCTGAGACAGGACAGCAAGGACTTCAAGCCTATTGTTGACGTTACTTGACAAGTTCTGTGGGTGACTGGGATATCACTGTCACAGTTCAGAAGCTTTTGCTTTGCCAGCTGCTCTCCCTCTTGTATTGAACCAGCTCAAGTCTTACCAGTACCCTGATTGCAGCTTAGAGGCAAATAAGCACTGGAACTGCTGGGGACAACCTTATCTCAACCTTATCTCACTGAGGTGAGATAATGTGTGTGCACACACCTGTCTGCTGGTTTTCTGGCACCTGTTTCAGCACAGACACTGACTTCTTTCCAGCTACTTTGCATTTGGACATCAATTATGGCTTCTGAAGTCAGGACCCAGGAATGTGCTATCTGTGTCTGTAACTGCTGCAGCTTTCTTTAGGCTTAGAAACTAAATGTAGCATTGGATGGTGCTTAATCGGGCAAGAGTTCTCTGTTACTGGTCCCTGGACTGGTACAGTGTGCAAGTGAAGCTACGTGTGATGCCTGTGCCATGAGTGTCCACTGGTGTAACTATTACCACAAACATGACTCTGCTGTAATGATTTTAATGAAATAAGCCCATTTTGTACAATCATGAAATATAGTTTATCTGTGTTGATAAACTCAGCTGATGTTGGAAAATACACAGCACAGACTGCCAAGGCCAATATGTCCTGCTTTCTGGAAAAAAATAGCAATTTTCAAGCAATACGGAGCTAATAGTATTCTCCAGATTCTTTTGTCTTTGATAATCTTGTGCCAGTTAACTTTGGGTGCCATTCCAGAGACATGTAATCACTAAAATTCTGCCCTTTTCCAAGGCTGTGAGAAGAATATATGAGAGAGTTTCTAAAAAATATAAAAAACATCCTTTCCCCAACTTTTTACCTACTTTTTTTTTTCCCCACATTGCACCAGGGTGCCTCAGGCTAAAGTTCATCTCACTGCAGTCTTGCTCCAACCCTCATAAATTCTTTGATGACTTGAGACATTTTGTGATTCTGGCTGGCCAGGACTGTTAGTCCTTTTTATCCTGGATGCCAGGCACTGCAGCAAGACATAAAATTCATCTGTAAGAGACCATGGCACGTGCTCTGAACAAGGACCAGAAACTGCTGGTGTTTGCATATCTTGGGACAGTAATTCCTAAAGCATTTCTGGGGTCAGAAGGACCTCAGTCTACTGTGTGTGAAGGGGTTTTTGGTGTTACACAGACTAAGCAATCCCTCAATGTATTATTCAAACTTTCTTCAAGCTAGCAAAACCTCTCAGGCTCCATAAATCAAGAACTATAGGAATGAAATAATGTTTTAAATTCCTTGGAGAGAAGAAAGTGTGTCCTGCAGACACCTCATTACTTGGGAACTGGAGTTTTGTCTAAGTAAATTCAGCAGCCAGAGGACAGTCAAGTTTCAGAGGATCTATAGAGATCCCAGTCCATCTATAGAGATCCCAGTCCATCCCCTTCCTATAAGGTAAGACCAGTAAAATTTGTTGCTGTCATCCTTGGGATATGTGTGTCTAAAAAGTTCCTGAAGAGGCCAGTGGAGCATGCAGGACATGGGAGCCCTTAAGGAATGTGCCAGGCTGGAGGCTGAAGGTCCTGTTAGATGTCACAGCCCTCAGGTTCACTGCTCAGCTGTGTCAGTGCCAGGGATGACTCACTCTCCTGCTGACCCAACATGGAGCAATGCCAGTCCTCCTGCAGAGCAATCACACTAATTAATCCTCCCAAGGAGTGCTTGGGAGAGGCTTCTTCACATGCAGATTCCTTTGGTTTCTGTTTGTCTAGACCTCTGTAATCTCTCTGGGTCCTGAGTTAGGACCCCCCTGCCACAGTGAAATATCCTGGAGAATTTTTGGGTGGGATATTACCCAATTTTTCAAACTTTTGAAGCAACACACACAAAGGATGGATTACAGGATTCTCCATCACTTGGGATCCCTGAATGAGTCATGGATGTCTTTATAAAAAGCATAATCCAGTTCAGCCCTTAGGCTGACTCCTGGTACAGGATACTGTGGGTGAGGTTTGACATTTGTGTTATGTGGGAGGTCTGTGAGCGTCTCCAGTTCTTGGGATGCAACTCCCCAGCACAGCCTTTCAACCTCTCCCGTTTTACCTTCATTTCTCTCATAGGAAAAAACAAAATGCAGGACCTTGCCAGACCTGCCTTGCCATGCCAGAGATTGGGAATGCTGAGCTCAGCTACAGTGGCACTTCCTGGGAAAAAATCTGCCCAGTCCATCACTGCCCCATTCCTGCATCCCCTGGGCTGGGGGAAGACAACTTGCCCTCCTCCAGCCACACACTTGGGCCAGTCTCCACCCAGTCCAATGGCCAGGTGCCATCAAGCTCACAGGACTCACAGCAGCAGCACCCATACTACCCCTGCAACCAGGAGGAGTCCCAAGGCAGCTATGGCCTGCCCTCGCTCCCTGGGCATGGCGAGAGGCCTGTGCTGTGTTCCCACCTTTCCAGTGGTGATCTTGTGCCAGCTTCCCACCACAAGGCCTCGGAAACGCCCTGGAAGCAGTGGTCCCCTGGGCAGCGGCAGCCAGTGCAACATCATGTTGTCACAGTCAGGTAAGAAGCACACGGAGGGCGGCTCAAAAGAGCATCTTTGGTGGGGGCAAGTGGGAGGGATGAGCAGGGTCTGAGCTGTGATGGATGAAACATGGGTTTGCTCTTCAGCTTGGGGCAGCAGCTGCTCCAAAACACATGGAAGGAACCAGTTTGCTCTCTACCTCTGTGTGGGCATACAGAGAGCTGCCATTCCCATGCCAGGGAGAGGTGGGATTTCCTTCTCCAGGGAGTGGCTGGCTAAAGCCAACGTCACTCAGTCACTCCTAGGTCATGCAGGTGTGACTATGCCCATCTTCCTTTACCTTTGTATTTTCTCCCTTTGCACTCCAGGGCACCCAGCTGCCAGTCCTTTATCTTGGCAAAGTTCTCAGTGATGGGAAGAGAGTTCATTCTTTTCCTGCCCCCACAGAAGCCGCTGCCAGTGCTGGAAGGGAGTGGCAGCAGAGGATAATAAGCACTAGCTACAGCTGAGCAGTGAGAGATACAAAATGGAGGACGATTATTTGGCTTTCCAGGTTGGGCAGCATGTTGTCCATGACAGAATCCACTTGTGTACAGTGCCTAGGTAACAACAGCCTGAGCCACAACCTCTGCTCCTTCCAGTCAGCACCATCCTTCCTCTTGAGTGTGCCTTTTAGGGTCTACCCTTGGCACAAGAGATCATGATCCCTTCACTGCTGTAGCCGTAGCCACTGAATCCTTATAAAAGAAGGCACAGGATTCCATTCTTGCGTGTGTACAGCATTGCAGCGTTAGGCACAAAAGCCCTTTAGAGTCTAATTTTTCAGCCATTTACACAGGATTTAATTTGCTTGTGTTTGTGTAGATGAACTGCAGTCAAAGAAGCCCGGGTCCTTTTCCTGAATCGTTTTCCTGGATCATTTTTCTGGATCCTTTTCCACTCATATGCTAGCAACAAAATTGCCAACTGTGTCCACTGTAACAGGTTATTTAAGTAGGAAGCACAGCTGGATTGTAAATCCCTGGCAGAGTGTGCAGCACCAGCAGTCAGAAAAGTGATAACATAATAATGCCAGAATGAGGTTTTTAATCCAAGCAAATCTGCTTGAAGAGCTATTGTGAGGGAATTAGCACAGGATGGGCAGTGTACTGCTGGAGAGAGACCTTGCTTTGATAATCTGGGAAGGCTTTTGCTCTGCTCCTCTCTGTCCCAAATCTACAGAGCATTAGTGTGATGAGCAAAACACAGAATCATTTATTACATGAGCCACACAGAGTGACTCTGCCATGGGGAGCTCTTCTCCACTGACTTTCCATTTCTCCCACTCATAACAAGGCTAGGAAGGATGAGCTGCCTCAAGGTCTCCAGCTGGCTGCTGCAAGGAGGGGGGACCATGTGCCCAACACAGATATTGGAGTGCAGCAGAACCTTCTCCCTGTTTAAGCAGGAGTGTAGGAGGGTGAGAGGAGGAGGGAGTACTAGCTGAGCAGAGCTTGGCACAGCTGCAGAAGGAGGTGGGAGCCGTTCTCTGGGAGCTGTGACCAAGCCAAGGCCATGCCAGACTGAGGCATGTTTTAAGGGGACATTTCAGTGCAGAAAGAGAGAGCAGAACAAAACGTCCTTGAGATATCTGACCCAACAAGATGCAGCTTTTCTGACAGGATGCTAGTGGAAGGCTTGTCCTCAGGGATTAATTAACAAACTTTGGATCCCCTGGGGAGGCTTTATTTCCCCTCTTAGAGCCCTTCAAGTAAGAGTGACAAATGCTCCTCTGTGTAGAAAATCCAAATAAAGTATAATAAAGTAATTTTAGCAGCTCCACTGGCTTTCTGCTCTTATAGCCTGAAAAGACAGTCTTTGGAGGGACCCAGGAAACAAATGAAAGTCACCTTTTTGGTGAGCTGAGCTGAACAGAAAACAAAAGATATCTATAGTTGTTGCTAGCCCAGCTCATGAGTTTTGGAAAAGAGGTTTGCTTTTGTCAAGAAACACTTTAGGAAGTGCAGGAAAAGCACTGAAACCAGAGAGATTTTAATGGATGAGATCTGCAATGGGATTTCTATAGGACTGCACTGCTAATGTCCAGTACTCTCTGGAGGGTTTTCTGAGAGGGACAAAATGAGGAGTGACTACATGGCTTTCCATCCTGTTTGGTTAAAATGGGAGAGGAAAAGGCTCTATTATTCATTAAACTAATTCACACAGTGACAGAACTGTGTCAGCACTGGCTCACCTTGGTGCTTACAGCTGTGTAAGGGTTAACCTGCTCAGGGATCAGCGCAGCACTGGGCTTCCCAGGAAAATAATAAATGAACACATCTTTTTTCCTTTCTGTCTGCAGACATGACAAAGCTTTCAGGATGCCAAAAAGGTATGTTTAACAGCAAAAGCTTCCTGTCCTTGTACCCTGTGATCAGTGCTCTCCTGCCCTGCTATTAGGAGAAGCAGAGTGTTACTGCTGGTGACATCCCAGCAGGCCCGGCTCCAGAGGCGAGGTCAGCGCTCCTGGGGCTTTCCACTCCTTGGAAAAATCTCCATTTGCTTGTGAGATCAATTTAACCTGCATTAATGAATAGTAACACTGTCTCAGTAGCTGTTCTTGGGTAGGTGCCTGGCTCTAGCCCATACGGTAGCTTTATATATATATATAATAATTCTATATGTGTCTCTGTGTGTGTGTGTATGTATATATATACACACATATGTGTGTGTGTAAGACTAATCCTGCTTGTTCTGTCAGAGGAGCAATGAGGAAAAGAGCTCATCCATGAAATAAACTCATCTTTTCAAAAGACAGAAATTTTTAAATACACTTATCAAAATGAAAATAATTTGATTACTTTCTACTTCTGTTTAAATTCTGACTTTTGTAAACTATTGCTTCTGGATGGTTTGGATAAGCACCTTCTGTCATAAGCAACTGCAACTGATTTATTTTTCTTTTTTTTTTCCTGGTAATTGGGCATGGAAATATCCAAAACAGCCTGCAGAAATTATGTACTCTAATGAGTAAAGAGCAGTTTTGTTATTTTCATAGCAAAGAGTTTCTATATGAAAACAAACTTGATAAGGCAATTGTAAATTGAAAAAAAACAAAGGCAAAAAAATCAAAAGTCATGTGAAAAGCTGTTTGAAGTGCTTGTGATGTGGTGGAGTCTCAGGCAAAAGGAACAAAAGAGCAGGAAAGGAGAAAAATTCCATCTCAAATAAAGTTTATAACTATTTCACTTCACAAATATTTTTCAGCTATTTTTGAACAAAGAATTTCTTATATTTCAGAAGTACATCAGAACACAAAAGAACTAGCCTGCCAAACCAAAGCAGGAGCCCATTCTGCTATCTTACATCTAAACTGGTATTTCTCAGGAAGACAAAAATCTTGACACAGTAAAACCTGCACTAGTAAAAAATATGGGAGGGTAACATTCATAGATCATCCTATATGGGAGACAGTTTGTCCCAAAGGAAAAACAGAACTTGGATAGAAAATTTTACATGAGCTCCTTGAGAACAAAAGTAATTGGCAAATAATACTCAGGCCAGAGTAAGCTGCTTCCCTGGAAGAGTTTTGATGTCGTCAAAATGTTGTGATACATCATTAAAATTGAATGTATTCTAGTGAATACCTATGAATTTAGAGCAGTGTCTAAATACACTAAGTTAGACCAATGACAGTGGGCTTGCTTGGGTCACTTACCTTCAGGGACTCTTCAGAATTATCCAAAGATTTCTCAGCATCCAGTTTGGAAATCTGTAGCCTAAACTGTCGCAGCCACCAGCTGACATTGCACAATGCAGGGGAAATTAAGAGGCTCTTTGTAATTGCAATCTTTGAACTTAAATGTTTAAAGCTTCATTCTGCTCGAGGACACAAGACTCTGGGTTTTATTATTTCTGATTGAAAAAGCTGGAAAATGCAGAGAGGCAAAATGTAATTACCCGAGTTAATTAGAGCTGCTTGCAAATACCCAGTTAGAGGTGTAATATGTTCATTAATAGCTGCACTAGAGCCTCCAAGCTTCACAGTAAATAACTGTGCAAACCAGAGACCCTGATTCTTTCCTTCCTGTTACTCACACCTCATTGGCTCAACAGCAGGTTTTGTGCTCCGAGCTGAAGCATCTCAGCAGCTGCATTTTTGCTTCTCCTGTTGCCTGCAGTTACTCGCAGCTGATCGCCGAGTGGCCGCTGGCCGTGCTGGTGCTGTGCTCTGTGGCGGCAGCGATCTGCACCATGGCTGGGCTGCTGGTTGGGAATCTGCCTGACTTTTCAGAACCCCTAATGGTAAGTTCCTACAGCTGAGGGATCAATAGGAATGTAAGGAAAATCCACGCCCAACCAGTGATATCATCCCTCCAAGATGAGCAGAATGTGCTAGTCCTGCACAGCTGTCCCTGACACACAACCCATGCTCATCCCTCAGCCATGCTGTGCACTCCCACCAGTGCCCTCACTCCAGTGTGGAGACACTGCCAACACGAACTGGGATTGCTCCCTTTGCTCTCTTTCCAAGGCTGGAAGGCTGGGATTGCCCACAGTGAATAGCTAGGCTTGGTAGGGACTGGATAGAGGAGCTGGCTTTGGCTCCTAAGTCTGTGCATGAGACTTTTGGAGAGCATGCCCTGTTCTGAGCACTATGCACATGGAAGGTTTTCCATGAGGAATGCCACATTCCCTAAAATCATTCCTGCCTCTGGTTCACGAAGGAATCTTGAGAAAATAAGAATACACTAGAGTTTGTCCACAAACAAAAGGAAAATTAGTGCCATTTCTGTAAGGGACTACTACAGTTAAAAAAGAAGAGAAATTCTTAGGCGATTGGGGAGAGATAATTGTAGCCATCGCTGAGGGCAAGGGAAAGAGAAGGGACAGGGAAAGGGACAGGGAAAGGGAAAGGGAAAGGGAAAGGGAAAGGGAAAGGGAAAATGAAAAGGTTAATATTTTTTCTCTTATCTCTGGGATGCATTATTTCCAGGGAAAGTTCAATTCATGTATCTCTCCAAGATGCAGTAATAGTCTCATACAGTTTCCATGTGTTGGAGGAGACCTAAGGACAGCTGAGCTGAAGTGGAGCAATGACAAAGCCCTTTTCCTTGGTGCAGGGTTTCGAGCCACGGGACACTGACATTGGCAGGAAGCTCATTGTGTGGAGGAATATCGAGAGCCATACAGGCTCCAAGAAGACCCTTTCTCTTTCTCCCTATGCCAAGAAGAAAAGGTATTTGAGCTTGGTTTGGGGGATTTGAGGAACATGTTGGTTGTAAAGTCACATATTCAATATTCCAAAATATCTATGTGAATTCCATACATCCTGTGCTTAAAAGTAACGGAGGCATTGGAGGGTTTGAAGTCTGTGTGCCTGCAATGGATTTAGGCTCCCTATTGCTGTGTCTGGCACCAGAGCCTTGTCAGTGAATGTAACTCCCACTCAGACACTCTCTTGTTAATAATCACAGTTATTAACAATAATCTGCCCTCTTGCTAGCTATGATGACCTTGGCATTGGCAGAGGACAGAAGGCTGCTCAGGGAGAACAAGCAGCGAGGACACGGAGAATGGTGGAAACCATCTATGGAGCAGATGGATTCTTCTGTGGTCCCCCAGGTGACTGAACTATTGATGAGGCAGTAAATACTGCACACCCAGAACTCAATTGACAGAACTGTCAGAGCTCAGGACACAGGGGAATACTCTGATTTTGCTCTAAGCAAGCAATGTGTGCAATTCCACCTCTGAGAGTTCTGACAGTGCCCTCCCAGCACTTCATACCTCAGTGGTCAGAAAAGGCTGGTTCAGAAATTCTGAAGAGTAGTTTCTCCTTCTTTGCCATATTTCTTGTTTTCCCCTTAGAAATATACCTTGAAAGCACACATTAAATGACCAATGTTTTCACCATTTACCCATATCAAAAGTGAATAAAAAACAGTGTATGCCCTGCTTGCTGTCTGCTCCCTCTCTCTTGTCTGCTCCCTATCCCTCTCTACTTCTTCCTTCTTTTCTTCTTGAAAAATTTACATGTCAGTAAAATTTGAGAGAAAAACAGAAAACTCCAACACCTCCCCAAATTTGTACCAAAATGGGCACTAGTAAATAGAAAGAAGAACAGCATTAAGATATTTTTATTCTCTTCCCTGCCTTCTATCCACCTCTGAAACAAGTCACACACCAAACATTCAGGTCCTTGGGGGTTTTTGGCTGAGCTCAAGCTCCTCCCTCGTTCCAGGGATGCAGAACCAGATGCCAGCAGTCACTAAAGGCAAGGTGACATTTGATTTTGAAAATGCCCTGATGCTGCTGACCAGTTTCAAGGGGCAGGGGTGAGGTCACACAAGGCACATGCTCACTACTGTCTTGTGACCTGCTTCCCTCCAGGGAGCCCTCCAGAGCAGTCCTATGGACAGAGATATATATTCCTTTTTCTGTGAAGACAGAGTCTACTCCAAACAGCCTGGTTGACTCATCTTCATTACCTAATCCTTTGACGATTTTTTTTTCTTCTTTATTTCAGAAAAGAGCTATTCCCAGCTGGTATTTATGTCCACAACTGCTGGGAGCTTATGGAACTTGCAAGCAATTCAGTCTATGTGTCAAATGGAACAAGACAAGGTCAGTGATGGCAGGAAGAACACATGTACAGGCTGTCTCTTTTCTGTCTGCTGCAGTCTTTGATGTCTTGCTGAGAGGATGCCAGACAAAAAACAATGTCAGCTATGCAAGAGGTTTCACCTGGAGGATTCCAAAACATTTCACCTACTTGGCAATATAGGGATGATCCCACCTGCCAGTTGCAAATTAAACAAGAATAAATGGAGACTGAACAGGAGCTGGTCCAGAAGCCAAAGCTGTCCATCAGAAGCTCTGAGGATTTTGGGCAGCAGAATGTAATTACAGAAATTGAGCTACCAGCTTGGAGACTGGTGGCAAGTTTTACAAGTGGGAAGTTTAATTGGATGTGATTTGCTATAGGAGCCAAATTTTCAAATCTGCAGGTATAAAATATAAATAAAGGACAGGGTTTAATTTTTGCAAAAGGCTACCACCTTTCCAAAACTTTGGTGTTTGGGATTTGTCCCTGGGAGGATGGTCAGGGATGGGTCATACACCTTCGATAAAGGGAAAAGGGGAAAAAGGTGAGGTGAGGGGAGGTGAGATGAGGGGAGGTGAGAGGGGAGGGGAGGTGAGAGGGGAGGGGAGGTGAGAGGGAGAGGGAGAGGGAGAGGGAGAGGGAGAGGGAGAGGGAGAGGGAGAGGGAGAGGGAGAGGGAGAGGGAGAGGGAGAGGGAGAGGAGAGAATTACTGCAGCGAGTAAAGAACACTGAGGCTGCAAGAGAGGGTCTGACCTCGTGCCCCCTCATGTTTTTCAGATACGCTCACATGTGCATTTTAGAGACCTCTGCCAACGTACTGAAGCCAATGAATGCTGCCCGAGCTGGTCCCTGGGGAACTACATTGCTGTCCTGTACAACAGATCTTCGTGTCTGGAGATAACCCAAGGAGACATCTCCCACACCCTGGCCCTGCTCCGTGCCTGTGCTCCAGACTACCACCGAGGTGTCCTCACTCCATCCTGCATAGGCCCTGAGGCTGTCAGACAGAAACACTCTCAGTGTGCCCAAGTCCCAGAAAAATGTACCCGCTTCAATGCCATCTACCAGCTGCTTCATTTCTTGGTTGACAGGGACTTTCTCAGTCCCCAGACAATGGAGTACCAAGTGCCCTCTCTCAAATACAGCCTGCTTTTCCTGCCTACAAGAAAAGGTGCATCTATGATGGGGATCTACTTAGACAACCTTGAAACCTGGGATCTGTTTGATAACTACACGTCTATCACTGGAATGGACCTGGGCCTTAAACAGAAACTATTCCAGCACTACCTTTTACTGGATACTAAGTATCCAGTGCTGGCAATATTAGCTATTTTTCTAAGCATTTCTTTTTATTTACGCTCAGTGTTTATTACCTTGATGGTCCTGCTCGCTGTTGTCAGTTCTTTGATGATCTCCTTCTTCTTGTACAAGGTGGCCTTCAGATTCACCTATTTCCCTTTTGTAAACCTGACAGCAGTCATCATTCTCAGCAGCATTTGTGCCAACCACACTTTTGTCTTCTTTGACCTGTGGAACCTCAGCAAGAGCCAAAACCCTTCTGCTGGGCTTGCTCAGTGGGTGAGTCAAACCATGCACCATTTTGCCTATCTCATGATGGCCTCATGCTTCACAACTGGTGCTGCCTTCTACGCCAGCTACATCAGCAACATCACAGCCATCCGCTGCTTCGCTGTCTACATGGGCACCTCAGTGCTGGTGAACCTGGTTTTCATGATGACCTGGCTGCCCTCTTCAGCCGTGCTCTATGAGCGCTACATCTCAACGACCTGCATTTACAAGCCAGAAGCCTACTGGAACAACAGCAGCCACAAGAGAGTCGCTCTCTCCGTCCATTACATCCTCCGGGCTCTCCAAAACACAATGTCTGAAACCTCCAAGCTGCTCTTTGAAAAGCTTCTGCCTTGTGGGGTCATCAAGTTTCGGTACATCTGGATCTGCTGGTTTGCTGCCTTAGCCATAGGAGGTGCCTACATTTCCTGTTCCAACCCCAAACTCAAACTCCCGACTCTGGAGACATCATCTGTCCAAGTGTTCAGGCTGAGCCATCCCTTTGAGAGGTACGATTCCGAGTACTGCCACCAGTTCATGTTTGAGAGGTTGGAGCATGGAGAAGGGCAGCGTATGCCTGTCACCATAGTCTGGGGCATTCTGCCCGTGGATAATGGGGACCATTTCAATCCAAAAAGCAACGGCACTCTAGTGACAGACACCGCCTTCACCATCCAAAACCCTGGTTCCCAGAAGTGGCTCCTTGAATTCTGCCAAAAAGTGAAGAACAAAACTTTCTATTACCCTGATGCAGAACAGAAATCTACTGTGTGCTTCATGGAGGAGTTCCTCAAGTGGATGGACAGTCGCCAGTGCTCCCAGCAAGACCACAGCTTCAACCTTTGCTGTAACCAGTTCTCCTTCCCTTACAGAAGCGAAGTCTTCCTGCACTGCATCAAAATGATGCTCCTGGAAGAGGGCAGGGAAGGGGCAGAAACGTATGATCTGGGCCTGAGGTTTGATGGGGAGGGAAATGTTGCTGCCTTAGTGCTGCAGTTTCAAACTATCTATCACTATACCTTCAACTACAGCAGAGCCAAACAATTCTATGAGGAAATCAGCCTCTGGATAACAGAGGAAATGAAAACTGCCCCCGTGGGGCTTCAGAATGGATGGTTTACCAGTAAACTGGAGCTGTACAACCTCCAGCACAGTCTCAGCACAGAAACCATGGTGGTCATGGGGCTCTCCATAGCTGTTTCTTTCGTGGTGCTGCTGCTCACAACCTGGAACGTTCTCCTTAGCGTTTTCTCTGTTACTGCCATTGCAGGCACCGTCCTGGTAACCACTGGTCTCTTGGTTCTCTTGGAGTGGCAGCTCAATGCAGTGGAGTCTCTCTTCATTTCAGCTGCAGTAGGTCTCTCTGTGGACTTCACTGTCAACTACTGCATCTCCTATCACCTGTGCCCCCATTCCGACCGCCTGAGCCGAGTGGCCTTTTCCCTGAAGCAGATGAGCTGTGCCACAGCCATGGCAGCTTCTGCTCTCTTCTCTGCAGGGGTCATTATGTTGCCTGCCACAGTCCTGGCATACAGGAAGCTGGGGATATTCATCATGATGATCAATTGTATCAGCTGTGGGTTTGCCAGCCTCTTCTTCCAGTCACTCTGCTGCTTCTTCGGCCCAGAGAAGAATTGTGGGCAGATCCTTTGGCCTTGTGCCCACACCATGAAAGACTACTCTGATGACTCCGGGCCGAACGGAAACTTTGCCTGTGGGGGCAGCGAGAAGCAAAGCCGGTTGCGGAAGGTCCAGGAGTCCAACACTGCAAATGAACAATATGAGCTCCAACCCTTGTCCAGGAAACTCAGCGACAGTTTTGACAACAGCACTTCCACAAGCAAGCTGTCCAACCGGCCCTCTGTGCTCTCTGAAGACATACAAGTTGAAGACAACAGATGCCCTCGAGTGGCAACGCACCCCTCCCTTGAAAGAGAGAGACACAGTCTGCAGGACACGCTTGGAGACCAGCAAGTCAGCCTGTGCCAGTGTCCTGCCTTGCAAACTTCCTCTCCTTACAAGCACAGCACCTCCGAAACAGAAATTCACAGGGAGAGACTCTGCCGAGATTGTCAATGTCAAAAGTATGGTCTGAAAGCATGGGATGGGTCTGGGCTGGACCACATCCAGCCAGCTGGCATGAAAGAAGAAGGCCAGCTCAATAAATCCCAGTGCTCCAGTGACACTGCCCAGCAGCAGTCCGATTATACCTCAGATCACAGCCCTCTCCCTGCTGCTGACATCTACAAAATTCACAGATGCCTTTGTTCTCTTGGCAGCTCTTTTGATATGCTCAACATCTCCAGTGAGACATCAATCAGCGATTTTGAGCAAGGCCTGAAGCTGGCTGAGTCAGCCAGTTCCTGTCCTGATGCCTTAGAGCTGTCTGACTCCTATGGTAACATGGAGCGGGGCTACCTGAACGGGAAGAGAGATACCCTGCGGCTGGACCTGAAGGAGACTGTCTTTGATGTGTCTCCAGCTGCATCACAGCAGAACAGCTCTTCGTGGAAAAATCGGTTTGGATTGGGGAACGAAGGGCCGGTCGTGCTGCCCAACAGCCAGCCAGATATGCCTGATGTTTGGATCAAACGATCCAGTGCACAAAGTTCTGGTTACAACAGCTGAGACCTCGCAGAAAGCAAAGCTGCTGCTAGGGAAAGAGGAAGCCTGAATGTCCTTAGAGCTGCAAAGATCAATTTTTTCCTCCCACCTCTCCTAGAGCTGAGACTGAGACTATTTCTTAGTATTTCAGCTGTGCAAAATGTCTGTTTTCACAGGAATCAGCAGATCTGATGCCAGTGAGAGGATGTGAGAGCCATTGTGACAGACTACAAGCCCTTTGACTTCCAGTGTCTGGTGCCATTTTCACAGCTGTTCACAGGACTTACTGAGTAAACCTGGTTTGTCATTTCCTACAAGGTGATTAGGTTTTGTTTGCTTGAGATAAATAATGAGGCAAAGCTCCCCAGGTATTTAATGACAGAGAAAGAGAGCTCGTGTTTAAAAAAAAAATTAAATAAACAATTTCCAAAACTGAACTACTGAAAATCTAAGTATCAAGTGAAGTGTATTGTGAATAATAAAAATTAAAGTACTTCATTTTCTATTTTATGCAAAGTCCAGATCTACAGACTCCATCAAAATAGCTCAGATATTATAAAAAGTCCTGTCAAGACTTCTAAGTTGACACAGCCTCTTCCTGACCATGGAAGAGGCTGCAGAATCCAGCCTAAATCTATTTCCAGTAACAACTTCTGTATGTTTTATCTGAAGGCATTCTAATGCTGCCAAAGATTTTCAGTGTGAATTTCCCCCTTGAGGGATTAAGTCCTTGTCCCCCCAGACTCAGGTGCCTTGTTGTGTCCTCTTTACAGAGTGTTTCCACTCAAGGCATTCCCCTTGTAACTTTTTAAAATTCACGTATCTGATGAAATATTGAATTTTAGGGTTTTCCCCTCATCTATCAGAAACAAACAGGAAAACAAACATTTATTTGCCCTCATTTGATGAAAAATAAAACATTCTCTCTACAAGTTGACATACAATAAATGCTTATAACAACCTTTCCTAAAATCTGTGTGATGCTTCATTGTCACCAAGAGCACTGTGGTTATTCATCTTTTAACTGCCCAATATATTTTCCAAAGGGAAGTATACATCTTTAAAATACTTATTCTTCTGACATCCAAGAGTTGTTCCTGAGCTGTGGGAGACAGAGCAAATCCCTAATATCCATGAGTGACATGGACTTTTAAAGCTAATACCAGAATTTGAAACATGTCAAACATGTCAGTTGCATGGTTCTGTATTTTTCATGTTTCAGTTTTAGGGTTTTATCCTGAAATTGTCATAGTGAATGTTCAGGTGGATATTTAGGCAGCCAAAGCCGCCGTCAGGCTGGAACTGCAGCAACCTCCTCAAGGAGCTGCTCCCCTTTGCTATCGGGGGAGACTGCCCACCCATTAGGAAAACCACGTTAGCAAACACTGCAAAAATGTCTTTAAGTGGGGAAACATTTTATACAGATGCCTCATTTCACCTTGCGGCATTAGAGAACAATTTTAGTACCTCACACACCAGCAGCATCGGCACCCTCACAGCTTTTGACTCTTACACGTCCGCACAGACGGCCACAAAGTCCTTCATCTTCGGGCCTCGAGTGGCTAAACCACAGGGTGAGGCAGCGTGAAGGACGGAGGGAGGAAAGAAGGGAGGGAGGGAGGGAGGAAAGAAGGGAGGGAGGGAGGGAGGAAAGAAGGGAGGGAGGGAGGGAGGAAACAAGGGAGAGAGGAAAGAAAGGAGGGAGGGAGGGAGGGAGGAAGGAAGGAAGACCGCGCTGCGCCTTTCCCTGAGGGCACCAGTAATGGCCACCAACGCCTCCCCTGAGGGAGGGGGCGCGAGGCAGAAAACGGCGCGAAGGAGACGGAGCGCGAGCGCGGGAGCGGCGCGCGCGCCCCCGCCCTCAGTCCCCACGCGCGCGCGCCACCCGCCCCGAGCGCGCTCGCTGCCTGCGCCGCGCCCCCGCGCATGCGCAGAGCCGCCCAACCGTCCCGGCGCGGTGCGGTTTGAACTCCTGAGGGGAGCGCGGCCACCATGGACGAACGGCTCTCCCGCATCCCCGTGCACTCCCGGCTCCACCACCCCGAGCCGTCCGCAGGTGAGTGCGGGGCACGGACGGACACCCGGGGGACACGGCTGGTGGGGTTCGGCCGAGGGGTGCAGCGGAGCGCCGGCGTTAGGGAGCTCCATCTCTGCCTGGCTAGGTGGTGGCTGTTCCAAAACCGAATTAGAAGCTTTATTCCACTGTTTTGTCCCTGTTTAGGATTTAGGTAACGCTCAGCCTGCTGTGTGTACCCTCCACCGGCTGAAGGCAGCGGCCCATTTATGCGAAAGATGCTTCATTCACAGTCTCTTTTCTAAATCTTTTAATGCTGCTTATAGCACTTTATAGTATTTTATAAGCGGGAGGCACGCAGGATTAGCGTTCAAAACGTGGGAGCTGGGCTGTATCGGGGAAACTCCGCGTTGCTCTAATGTAAATGTGCTCATGGGTGTGTCATTTGAAAACTACTTAACTTGAAGGAGAAAAGGCAACTTCCTAAACCCAATGAGTGAACAAAGCTTTATATACTTAAACAGTTGTGATTTAAGAGAAATAAACTCTACATAAAAAGCTGGTTTTCTGTTATTTTGGTAGCTATTGACTCGTAGCAAAATATGGAGGTCTCTTAACAGATCTTCATGTGGGCTGTGTTTGTTTTGCTTCCAGTATTGAACAACAACATTGTGGCACGGTGTCTGCTTGACGCTGAGACCTTCTTTATTGTGTATTATCATTTCAAACTCATTAGTGCTAGGCTGGTAACTGTATTTTAACACTGTCTACATCTGACCTATTTGTGGACCCTTGTTCCTGGGTAAAACTTGGCGACTGCTTTTAGTTACTTCAACCTTAAAGTCTCCATTCTAGCTAGATATAACTGCTTTACCTCAAATTAAAGGCTTAAGAGACCTTAAAGGAGGTTACTTCTAGTCTGTGGTGTTTTCACAGTTGTCTTTTTCTCGCAGAATTGCAAATGAATTTTCCTTCAAAGAGAAAATGTGTCAACAAAACATCAGAGCCAGAGCTCAGCGTGGTTCCTGGTCTTAACTTTGCCTCAAACATCCCAGCAGACAATGTCCTCAAGCCTGCAAACCAAGGGTAAAGCAAAGCAAAATAATGATGGATTTATTTGGCAGATGTCCTAAAGATGGCTCATTTTGAACATTTTTTCAAACTAACAGGCTTGGTGATCTGCAAGGACATAGTAGGCTTCTGAAAATTGCATTTTTATCTCTCTTTTAAGGTTGCCTAAGACTGACAAGAGAGTGAAACCAGTTTCAAATAAGACAGTGGCCAAATGGTACGTGCCTCCCATCTCTGTTAGTTGTCCTTGTGCTGTGGTGTTCTCCTGTGATGAGCTCTCCCCCATGTGCAGCTTTCCTGCCAAGTTTGCTAATCAAATCTGTTGGTCAGAAACAAAACCCAGTGCTTAAAAATGGGCAAAGGGAAATTAGGAGGTGAGCAACACTGGTATTTTTGCCCCTGAGTCTTTGCTCTTTAACTCCACAGCCCTCTCAGCAGATACCAACTAGAAGCAGAGCTGAAAAACAAGAATCAGTTGGTGAAAACACTCAAACAACAACTAGCAGAGGTAAGGATAGGAGAAAAAAAAAAAAATCATTGAGTGATTTCTGTATTCTGATCCATACAGGATCATATTAAGGATTGTCTTTATTGTTTTATTGTCTTCATCAGAATGTCTTTGTATTCTTCTGCAAGTTGTTTTCCCATCTGCTCAGCTCTGGGGAGGCCATATTGGGAATATTTTGTCTGCTTCTGGGCTCCTGGTGCAAAAGAAATATGGATGTACTGGACAGAGTCCAAGAAAAGGCCACAGAGATGGTTAAAGGACTGGAGGAAAGGTTGAGAGAGCTGGGACTGTTCAGGGACTTCTGTTTGAAACAGACCTGATTTTGTGGAATCAGTTTAGAGCCAGAATTGGCACTTCATTATTCCCTGGCTCTCAGAGATATCTGTAGGACCTGCTTAGTACCACTTCTGTTATGTCATGTACAGGAAGCCCAGCTGGTAACATACAGCTGTAAAATCTCACTTTATTTTCCAGTTCTCAATCTGTGGGATGATTGTTGCTCTCATCTCACAGCTGGATTTTCTTAAGAGCCTCTGAGACTTCCTATGAAAAGTTCCCAAAGCTTCTGACACTATCAGCCAGATCACCCTAATCCACATGCTTATTGATCCTCTTGAAGAATTGCATTCAACTTGGGAGGTTGATCAGATAATCCAATTGCCTGGTAATATCTGGATTGTGTAGGGAATAATGCTGTGGCTTAAAGACATAAGACTCCCTTTTCTTCGCAATGTTTATATACTCCTCAGTGCATGCATTATTTATATAAATGAGAGGGAGCACAAGAAAAGATAGAGTTGCCTAAAAGGAATTCGTCCATGATAACATTTTTCTAGTAATTGCTCCGGTGTGTGGATGTAATAAATGTATTAATCCTGTCAAGAAGCAGGAGCACGAACCTGCAACAGCCCAGTTTGCTGTGGTGGTAGAGACAGGAGGCAATGTGTCATTCTTGATGCCAAGTGCAGCACTTGTTGAAGTTGTTATTGTCAGTACTACTAAGGAGAAGAAAATCTCCTTGGGAACTTGCCTCACTTACAACCTGTGTTAATGGCAGGTTACTATTAAGTTAAGGGAGTTAAAGAAGGAGAATGAGAGGCTGATCCATGAAGTTGAGGAGCTCAAGAAAATTCAGAAGACTTGCATGACGATTTTAGAAAGCAGAAACATCAATCCTGGTAAGGAGTTTGCACTTTGCTTATATCCTCGTACTCCTTCTCCAGAATGTTTTTTTTTTTTCTTCTTTTGTGACTATTCATAAGAAATTTGGACTGTGCTTCCTTTGTTAGGGAATACTGATGGAATTCCAGGGTTTGGGGGAGTTTTTTGTGGCTTAAGAACAAGAACTGCTCCCCCTAGTAGGCCCTGGCCTGGATAAACTAACTTAGTATTTCTTGTTGTGGAAAGTCACTTTGAAAAGCTGTTTGTTCTCAGAGTTATGTGTATATTAGAGGTTCACTAATGCACCTCCTGAATTACTTACAGGTAGCAACATAAAGGAAGAAGAAGAGACACGTGCTTGCCGGGAAAAGACAACAGTAAGAAAAGCTTTGAGGGGTTTGTGTGCCCCTACCCTTCCCTCCTGATGATGACACAGCTGCGACTCACGTTTATTTGCATCATATTAAAAATCATTTTCCTTTTGACTCTTCAGATGCTAACTAAGAAGGTCACAGAAGAATTGATGCTATTTTGTCACAGAGTTGTAGAAGAGGAGAAGATGCTTGAGGTAAGACTGACTACCATGCAGTGAGCACCAGGCCCTGAAGGAGGCTATTTTGCTCCTCCCAATCCTCCTTTCTTCCACATGAGCCAGATGAAAACCTGCAGTATTCCTCTTTTAATATAAACACTCTTGTTAAGGAAAATGTTACTCTCCTTTTAAATAGAGGGATCCACCAGCCTGGTTGTTATTCTGGAAGTCAGAGTTTTTGATTTAACTTGGAAACTGTTGCAGAGCAGTGACCCTGGGTAATCTCTGTGGGAACTGAGAAATGTGCAAACACAAGTGGCCTCAATAATTACCGATACACAGACAACATAGTCTTTAAATTACAGTTCTACAATTCTTGATAAGAAGCCCAAGAGCTAAAATATAATTGTTATAGGAGACTTCCTAAATTTTGGCCATAGATAGATTTACATTTTCCACAAGCAACCAAGGTAAAAGAAATCCCAGACTTAGTTTAGGAGGAAGAGCTCAGGTGCTTTAGGACTTTTCTGTTCCTTACTCTGGTGTTAGTAAAACCGTCGTGCTGCACTGGCTTCTCCACAGGTAGCCATGGCGAAATGGGAATCAGCACAGGAGGAGAACCAGCGTGCTCTGGAGAAGCAGTCCGACTTCCAAGCTCAAATTAAGGAATTCAAAGCCATACTTGAAGCACATGAGAAGCTCCTGGCAATGTGAGGCACGAGGATGGACTGGGATATCTGCCGTTTCACCCCTAGTTCAGTGGTCCCTGTTTGTCAAGCCTGGCTCCTGCGTTTGATGATCCAAACGCCGAGCTGGTCGCTGCTCCCCGGTGGGGTAGGGACAGACGGGGGGCTGAGGCAGCAGCGATGGCCGGTCAGCCTTGTGTCGGGCGTTCGCCGCTCTGCTCCGATCTCCGGTGTTCGTGGCTTTAGTTCATTAAAGGTGTTGCAAGCACGCGGGCTCATTCGCGGCCGCGCCGGGAGGCGGGCGGCAGGGCGGGGCGGGGCGCTCCGGGGCCGGGCCGCGCCTGCGCGCGGGGCTGCGGCGGGGAGCGGCCATGGCGGCGGCGGTGCTGGGGCGCGCGGCGGGCGGGGCGCGGCGGTGGCGGGCGCTGGCGGTGCCGCGGCGCGGCGGCGCGGGGCTGGCGGTGGACGACACGGTGAACGGGCTGAGCGCCGAGCAGCGCCAGGTACGGCCGGGCGGGGCGGGGCGGGCCGCGCGCGGGGGTGTGGCGGGGCGGGCGGGCGCCCATTGGCCGCGGCCGGGCCGGGCCGCCCAATCCCCGCGCGCGCGGCGGGGGCGCGGCGGCCCCGGACACGCGGCCCGCGCGAGTGACCGGCCCGGTCCTGCC